ATGATCCCAGATCTACTAAGCGGTTGGTAGTTTCCATGTGACTTATAGTCTGGAATATTTGGATATCAGATGCAACGGGAGATAATAAAAAAAACTTCTTATTTTTTTTTAAAAAACCGCCTCTAGCCCCGATCAGTGACAATACCCTGGGACGATCGACCAAACATCATCGAAGGAGAATGGTGGGCTCAACACAAGGGCCAGCTCCTTTTTCTCAGATGCGAACGGCTCCGTCGGCCAACCGGGGTGCTCTAATTGGCACCTCCAATGGTAGTTCCAGCAGTATATCAAACCCCCCCCCCCATCGACAATATTCTGCAACGAGCCGTCGATAGTATCCACGGGCCTGCTCCGACGACGTCCGCCTTTTCTGCGGAAGCCCCTCGTATCGACGATATGGAGTTGTGGGAGAACCAATTGCTGTCGTGAGGACTCCTACAAGATCCGTGCATCCTAGCTTTGTTAAATATCTATATATATTTTTTTTTGGCGTGCCACAGCCCATAAAGGGGTGGCATGTCGTAAATGTGACCTTTTTTAATATAATGTCAACCAATTTTTATATATATATATATATATATTAGTTTTATCAATTGTATATAATTAAAGAAATGTCAGTCATTTCTGATAAATATGTTGTTGATATTTTTGACAAAGAATCACTTTTTAATTTTTCATGATTTTTTTAATTATAATAAAACTTTAGAATTTTCACTTACTGTGACTTAATAAAAATATAGATCCAAGTTTCAGTTCCGTGTTTCCTTTAGTTATTCTTTCTGAGTTAATTCTTACTTTAGAATTTCGTTGGTTTTAGTAATTTTTTATATAGTTAACATTTGAAGCTTCTTTTTGTTTTTGACAGTTAAATCCTTCCCTTCTATTTCACGGATATTTTTTCGAGCGTTATAAGCAATATTTTGGTCTTTCGGGTTAATTATGGCCGAACCATTATGTAGGGCAAAAATATTCCAATAATTACTGAAAGGACCTAACTGAACAATCCAATCCCACCCCATGATGGTTTCCACATCTTTCTTTACTACCCATAAATCTAGGAAAAATGTGGTATCATGAAGAATTACGCCCAATTTAGTTTTTCCCAAAACTATTATCTCAGACCCATCAAATTGTCTGACACACATAGATTCTTTCTCGAGCTTACCTTTAGGCCAATACTTAAAATAATTTCTTCGAGACATTATAGAAATGCTAGCCCCTGTGTCGAACAACATGTCAATATCCCTCGAGTCAACTCTTACGATAACTCTTGGACAAGGACAAGGTTCGACTAATCTCTCAGTCATTAAAATATCATACGTTTTAATTGACTGATCAATATTAATCTCATTTGAAACATCAGTTTCATGAGAATTCTCATTTGAACATAAATTCAACTCGGAATTTAGTGGTTCCTTAACAATATTCATATTTTTTTTTGCAATATAACTGGGATATTTTTCCCATCTGAAAGTAAATATTCCTTTCATCGGAATATTTAACAATACCCCTAGGATATTTCTCCCATTTAAAATCATTAGAATCTTTCTTATTTTTATCATCATAAATAAAAAAATTTCGGTTATAACCCCTGCTTTTACGAGAATTATATCTCATTTCAGCATGATTATTTACTTTATTATCATTTTTCCATACCGATCTCCTACCTACTATATGATTACATTTGCAATCATATAGTCAATTTTTGATACAGTTTATGGCTACATGTCCCGGTTTGTTACATTTAAAACACAAACGGGATTTTCCATAATTCGATCGTAAAACATCAAATTTATTCGTGTTAGTACCAGAAATTTTTCTAACATTAGAATTTTCTAATGCCAGTTTCTTTAACGGAAAACCTTCACGAAAATTTTGTTCTTTGACTACGCAGGTCTCCACCTTGTGACCCACATACCCACAGCGGGTACATTTCAAATCTTCTAAAATTTTCTTATGACCTGAAAAGCCATTTTTTTCAATGGAAATATTTTTTCCATTTGTCCATGTCGGACCACGTATTTGGCCTTTATTAATATTACTATTCGCCATAACCAACGTATTTATATCTTGATATATAATCTTAATCACTTCTTTTAATTCTTTCAATTCCTGGAGGATAACTATAGATCTCTCCACACTATCCAAACGATCATCGTTATTATCTTTCATCGTTTCCACCTTTTCAGGTCTGCCGTTCTTGATTTCATTTAAAATTCCATTTAAACTACTTTCCAAGACCGAAATCTTTTTCCAACAATCAGCCGACACCGGAGTGTCTATTTTCCAATTACCATATACTCTGGTCGCAACCAGCGTACATTTTTCAAACAAAAATTTTATTATAATATATAACACATACAGTATGACCAAGAATAAAACGGTCACTAATGAATTATTCACATCAAATTTATCAACCATTTGATACAAATCTTGATAATTAATACTCGGATACTCCGAAATTTTATTAAAGAAGCTAGGCTCACTATCAAAATTAAATATAAAGCCCATCTCATTATATGAAAAATTTATATTGTTTTTAAACGGCCGTGTTAAATTTCTAAAAATTTACACAAAAAGATGATTGCGTTGTGTTCTGAATGGAGATACAAAATATAAAATAAAATATTTTTTTTTACCTTAAAATACCGAATAACCCTGGAATCGAAACTATCCTGGTAGTCTCGGTCAACAACTGTCAAAAACAAAAAGAAGCTTCAAATGTTAACTATATAAAAAATTACTAAAACCAACGAAATTCTAAAGTAAGAATTAACTCAGAAAGAATAACTAAAGGAAACACGGAACTGAAACTTGGATCTATATTTTTATTAAGTCACAGTAAGTGAAAATTCAAAAGTTTTATTATAATTAAAAAAATCATGAAAAATTAAAAAGTGATTCTTTGTCAAAAAAAATCAACAACATATTTATCAGAAATGACTGACATTTCATTAATTATATACAATTGATAAAACTAATATATATATATATATAAATTGATTGACATTATATTAGAAAATGTCACATTTACGACAGTTATTTCATAATTGTAGTGGTTTTAAATGAAAGTGTAGGCATATTAAAATAAAGATAATAATAACATGCATCATGTTTATGTAATCGAAATATAAAATGTAGTGTATAAATGAATGATTGTAAATGATATGTATCTATCAAATTTAAAAAATAGTAATTTAATATATAATAAAACTAAATATCATTTTAAAAATATAACATTACGCGTGGCCGCCTTAAAAAAATTCGGCGGCGAGCCCGGCGGTGAGGTTCATCTTAATCGGTGGCTTGGGTTAATAAAATTGCTGGCGTCCACGGCGAGCAATTACGATTTATATAATAGCCATCTTTTGGGGTTACGTAGCTATGAGTAAATGGTTAAAAAAAATTTTCTGAAAAAAATATTTCTGAGTAATTAAGTTTCATATAATTAAAAAAAAACTATTTTAAATGTAATAATTTTAAAAATTTATTTTCTGAGTCGAATGAAGGCTTTTTAATAAACACTACATTGTCTGAGTAAACTCCCACATGTTTCAGTAGGATTGAGATCTGGAGAAGATGTCAAACCACCAATGTGATATTATGTTTGTTAAACGAGATTTCAGTAGATTGACAAGGAGATTAGTTTTGTTGAAATCCTGTAATTTGCTTCATACCTTAATAAATGAATTGCTAAGATCCAAAATTATTGATGATGTAGGCATTTTTCCCTTATTGGCCTGTAAACAATTAGGATAGACTTGTGCTATTATTATCCTTTTTTGTATTGACCCAAAACTTATATATTTTAATTAATCTTTGAGTTCCCCTTTTGCTCTTTTATTTTGCACATTTTCAAGCCCTTATTTCTTTCTCCGTCTATATAAAATTGGTAACAAAATTTCATGATAATTCTGAAAAGTAGGCATGTAAAATTATTTAGAAATTTTTTCTCTAAGAATTCTACCCTCTTTTAAATTTTACCTTAAATGTCTTTTATCAATAGCTTCATATCAGGAGAGCATTTCTAAAAAATATTTCTTGTATTTTTGATATGGTATCACACCATAATATAAGGCAAATAAAGGACTATTCTAAATTATATTTTAACATTTTTATCAGTTAATGATATTATATTGAAGATTACAGTACTGAAAGATAGATTTATACAAAAAAATAAATTAGGCAAAAAATGGAATATTGCCAATGATAATCTCTGGTTGTAGGTCAATGAGGAAAATTGATTACTCTCTCTCTTTAGAATTTATCTCTTATATAATTAATGATTATATAAATTTAGCAATTTGTGGTCTTACCTCTTTATCCATTTGGGGAAAAAAAATTTAAATTATATAAGCATCAAAAAATATGATAATTAAATTAACATGAGCAAATATATTGGTGAAAATATCACAATGGGAGATATCTTGGCACAAGGCCACAATTTTTAAAACACTTATATTTTTTATTTAGACCAGATTAAAATCAAGATATAAATAATTTTTTACTTTAATTAATATTACTTATATTTATGTAACAATGTAAACTATAAAATAGTGATCTGTGTTGGGCCTAATTTTTCAAGCATAGTCCAAAATTAATTTGATCTGCCCAGATTGATCTTGAACAAATTTTACTTGTACCGTGGCCCAAATAAAAATTATTTGTCCACCTAGCTTGGCAAATATATTTAAATATTAAAAAATTTAATTTTTTTTTATTGTAAAAAAAATATTCCATAAATAAAAAATACCACCTAGTTATCAATTTATTTGACATAATATTTAAAAATTTAGCCTGACTCAGACAGGCCCAAAATTTTTTAAAAAATATTAGCCCAACTCAACCTAAAAATTTTTTTAAAAAATCCTGATTAGGCCAGGATTTGCAGATCTCTACTATAAAATAGAGAATTGACAAATTTCTATAAAGTGGAATAATATAATCTAACATAACAATTATAGCAATCAATGATTAAATAATTTTAAAATATAAGTTACCTGTATTTGGAAATCCTAAATCATTATTATGAGATATCAATGATTCTGAGTTATGGAGGTAATTTAGTTTAAAATGTTGTTTTTGTAATTTAATCTTATTGAGCTGTTCTTCCTTTTCTTTTTCCAATATTTCTATATTGTAAAAATTTATAGGTATCTTTATTTTTCCTTTACAAAAGGCTTCATTGTCTAATTGTATATTGTTAATCCTTTTAAGCTCACCAATCTAATTAATAATTATTTATATATAATTTATAATCATGTAATAACTGTACATTGCAATTATATTTGAGGGCTAAAGTGTGCAAAGATTCACCGTCGGTCAGATCTTTTTCTATATAATTTAATTTTGGAGAAGATTTTCTACTGTTATTTTTATCAATGTGCGCCTCACGTTTAATTCTCGATCTTAGTGGGAAAGAGATAGGAGGTTCTGAATTGTCTAAGGAAGATGCGGAATTTATAAAATTATCCAATAGTCCCTCTTTTTCGTCGTCATTCCGTGAAAACATATCAAGAATGCTCTCGTTTGGATAAAAACGTTGCATTTAAAAATGCATGCAATATTTGATCCGAAAACATATGATACATTTGGATATTTCAAATCGTGCTTAATATTATCTCAAGTAGATGCTAAATAGCAAGTTTGTTTTAAATAATAAATATATTCGGTAACTTTGGTCTAAATTCAGGATAAAGGAGTTAAGATATTTTTTAGAAATTCTAAAGAAAATAACCTAAAAATATCAAACGCCTCTCAAAAATATTTGTAAAATCATAGCGGACGATGGGCGGGTAAATTTCAAATATTTTTCGGTAAAAATGGGCAGAACACACTTCTATTTATAATAAATCATTTTTTTTTTATTTCTAATGCATAGTTTAACTTTAATTAAAAATACTTTAAAATATATAAATAAAGTGCCAAATCCGATATTAAAATAATGTTTAAAGGGCGGGTTAAACAAAATCTTTAAACAAATGGGAAGGAGGGCAGATAATTTAAAAAACTAAGGGTGGGAGGGTAAATAAGTTAGAAAATTTTATAATATCAATTTGGCCCGAGTGTAAACACCCGAAGCAATAAAGAGATTTGGGGACTTCTAAATCCCTCTAAAGGCTGCGAGAATTTTATAAAAATGCGAAATTGATCTATATTCGATTGTCTTATACCGTAAGATGCTTTCTTAAGGATAAATGTTAATTTTTAAATTTCGTTATTTTTTTTATTTGCATATTTGTCAATTGTCATTTAGATTTTTATTATAAAAATAATTATAATTTTTAGGTAAGCTATACCAAAACTTATATGTTTGATAGTTGTCAACTCCCCCAATTTTCTCCCATCAAAAGGGATAGATTCATATTCCTCACCTCTTATTAAATTTGACACTATTCATAGGTTCTAGATTATTCTTTAAGTTTTCTAGAACTTTAATAGAATTTCTATATAATTATTAATTTTTAAGGTGGGGTATGGGGGGGGGGCAAGCTTTCCCCCATAAATTATATATAAATGGAGTAAAAAAAATAATTTACACTTTCAAAATAAATTAACATCTTAAAGCACCCCCTATTTTAAAAAGCTTGCGAAGCCCCGACTTTTGGATATTCACAGTCTAGGTTGAGGTTGAATTCAAAATACAGAATTTGATTCGAATACTGAGTTTACCACATTTTGATATTCAGAAGATTTTTAATTGGAATGAAAGGATATGGGAATTTTTTTAATACAATGTTTCGGCAAACCAAGTCTTGGAGTTAGGATGTTTGGATAAATGATAACTAAGTGTATCTACTATAAAGATTGAGGGCTGCAACCTCAAACCGATAAATTTGATTGGGGTGGGGGTAAACCATTTTAGAAAGACTTAACTTGAGTGATTTTAGTTTAATTTTGAGGTTTGCTAAAATATAAGAATATAAATAAACAAAACCTTTTTAAATAGGTAAATTTCATATGTACTTAATTCTTTCGTTATCAATTGGTAATCGAAGCATGTTAAACTCTTTTAATAATTATGAAATTGTCAAGTTCAGAGATGATATTTGGATTTCAACAGAATTTACATTTGTTCATATTATAAGGGACAAGTAGTCCATGATATTAATTTATGATGGCAAAACCTTAACTATTTCGTTGTAGGTGAGGTAGCGCTGAACTGGAGCCTGTTCACACTTATACAAATGGGTTTCTGTCATTTTATTCCTCCATTATGGATAAAATGCGTATATATAATATAAGGAAGTTTATCATACACAATTATTATACTCATCATACATTATAAAACATAATAAAATATCCATATATATAATCATTAGTAACTGACAATATAACACATAATATGTAAATAAAATATTACAATAAATTACTCCTTTGCTACACACACCAGTTTACCCAAATCAGTTAAGTTTTTGCAATGCTTTTCGTTAAACAACAATAATATTTCAGATTTGATTAAATCATCTAACTGTTTCCTCTTCCATTCAAAAATCGGTTATGGTATTTTAGACTTCATGATATTAATATTTTCTTACCAGACCTCAAGATTCAAACTTTAAACATTATTATCTAACTTCACATTCGTTTTCTTTCTTAAATATGAAATCAAAGCGGTTATAACCCTATTAATGTTTTTGTTAATTTGTAGGAATTATTCTTAAACAGCCAACACCATTTACAATTTTTATAATTAGTTTAAATCAACATCTATAAAAAATATCTTGAAAATTTTTTAAATTGCATTCTGTTCTAATGAGGTCATCATTATGATTGGATAATAATATATATTATCAAGAAAATTCTATATAGTGTTTATATCATGATAAAATTTTGTCAATATTATCAAACAAATTAAAAATTTCAAGATATTTTTAGGGATAAATCTATGTCATATAAATTATCATCAATCTAATAAGAATTATATGAAACGGCACTTCATTGCTAATGAGCCTGATCTCAAAATTATTAAATTAAACGATTAACTGACTTTCGAGTGGCAGCTTGTAACATTTCACCCCAAAAGAGTTTGGATAGCGTATTCTGCGTTATAAAATCATTCTCAATAAAATAAAAATTCTTCAGAAATGCCTAGGCAATTAGAACTTTACCTTTTATTGTAAATTGTAAACGTTTTTAAATCGAAATAAAATATTTATCACATAAAAAAATAATAAAACCGTTTTTATAAACGATTTATCGTTAATGGTCGGTATAGATTTATATATTTTTAAAAAACTTATAAATTTATAAGATCAGGGCTTGGGTAATTTAAATTATTTAGGAACTTATGAAAAGATAGGTGTCAAATTTGATTACAATATGAATCTATCTATTTTGATTGAAACTAATTTCCATCGTTTCCAAGAAATAAACCTAGGAGAAAGTTATCTAACACTATAAACCACATTATTAATGACTAAATTATAACCAATGCCTCCAAGTTTTAGCCATTTTGATAAAAATTAATGGGAAATTTTTGATTTCTTTATCAAACTTTTCAAGCTATTAGAGCCAATATCTTGGTTAATCAAAGGGAGAAAAAAAATCTCCTTGAAAAGAAAAAAAGATACATTTGAAATGCTTATTCGACTAATTAGTTGTATTCAAATCAAATAATTTATTAAATTATTTGATTTGAATTATTAGGAATAACAAATGTGTTTTATAATAAAATTTAATTATTTGTCATTTGATTTTCCATTGATAACCTAAAATCTAATGGGTCGAATATAGTAAATTATTCCATTTGTTTTATGTACTCTTCGATTCGTAATCGGTTTTATATAGACCTAGTTTCAAATATAACTTTCTATGGTTCCTTTTTGGGATCCCAACTAAAAAATAGTTGACCATCATATTTTATCATCCATTAATAAGTTATTTTTTTAAAATCATTATGTTTGAATTTTTTCCATCAATTTTTATACATACGTTTTTTAAGGTAAACATTTCATTTTTTCTCACTAAATTAGAATTTTTTTAAAAAAAATTTAAGAATTTTGAAAATTTTATAATTTTACATTTTTTAAATTATTTGCATTGTTTTAATTGTATTACCAGTAAAATTAATAATTAATTAAATTGCCAGTAAAATACATTCTTCTAAACCTAGTAGATTAACACCCATAATTTAATTAGGCTGAATCGAACAAATTTAAATTTATAGCCATTTCACGTAGACTAATTTTAATCCCACATATCAGGCCTAATCTTAATTTAATTTTGATAAAATAAATCATTTTTCAAATTAGCGTATATATATATATATATTTTCATAAAATTAAAAAGTAGTATAATTTTATTTTCTCCATTAAAAACACTCCTTTTTAAATAGTTTTATTAAACGGCTAGCCCAATATTTTAGCCTAAAAAATAGGCAAGAGTGAAAATTTTGCTCATAGATGGCGGAGAGGTTTGGACTTCTTTTAACGAAATCTCGAGGTTTGCGTATTATGATTTTGTTTAAATCGGATTAAATTGAGCTTTTTTAACAACACCAAAATTGTTTTCATATTTAACTCAGCAAATTAGTTGTTTACCAGTCAAAAGTTTATTTTATTTTTCGATAATTGCTGACCAGCTGATTTATTAAATACTGACCAAATAAAAATTTTGCACTGATAAGATAATAAACAGGAAATTCAAACTCAATTTTTTATGGCCAAATTATAATCAGAAATTTTTTTAACCTGCTCAAGAACAAGGTGAGCAAAAAGAAAATGACTTTTAGTTCACTTTCAGAAATGTAAATTTAATTTTCTTAAAAGTAGCATTTAAATATGCAAAAATACTAATCAATTATTTTTTTTAAATCCATTAGTGAAATTTAATTTTTTATTTTAGATAGCATTCGTTCAAGGATATATGGGACAAAAATCATTATTCAATATGGATAGGATCAGTGAAAAATTTGTGGATCGACATAACGTTAATATTTTTCAAAAAGTAGATATGGTGCTAAATTTTGGTGTTTTAAATTAGTAAAAAAAATTATCTAAAATAATTTTCAATATTATTGTCGACCTGGCTGTTGGTAGCGTGAATCAAAACTTCTGGGCCCGTTTTGTGGTTGATATATTTAAAAAAATTTTGTTGGACATTTTAGAAACATGGACTAATTTTTGGACAACTAAAAACCAACGGAATTCGGGTGGATTTGTTTGATCCCACCTGGAAAATCGTCGTCATTAATTTTTTTAACAATATTTCCTCCCAAAATCTGAACTTTGATAACAGGGATTTACTACACATAAAAATGATAATAACTATCATACTACAAATGTATATTTATAAAATAATGATTCTATTCAAAAAGGAATGGTTAGAATATCTTCAATATAGCAACATAATTTAAGTAATTTTTCTACTTTTTATTTGACTAAATCTAATTTCTAGCCAAAAATTCTCTTGGAATTTTTTTGTTAATTTAAGAAAGCAGAAATAAATTAACTTCCGTTTCAAAGCATTTATGGGCAGATGATGGAGGCTGGACTAAATTATACGATTCTTAGCCATTATAATTTCCTATAATGCACAAAAAATCAATGATTCAATAAAAGTTAATTTTTTAACAAAAAAGTTTTTAATTATCGGCCAATAACCAGTATAATACGATCTAATTTCAAACAATATGGGTTGTTGTTATTAGTATATTACAATCTTCATGGAAAATAATCTTCCAATTTTAATGCAATTTCCCCCGATCACCTAATAATTAACAAATTTTTATTGGAATATTTTCATTATCACAATCATTTTATAATTTCGCTATTTTTCGTATAGAATATCTTTATTCGCGTTTTTTAGATTTGAAATAAATAGCGTTTTATAAACGAAGTTCGTTTTTTTTAAAAATAAATAATGAACGATATCCCTTTTATTTTGGAGGAACTACGTGTTCTTTTTTTTGACGAAAGCGGTCATTCAAATTTAGAAAATCTTAATTTTATTCATTTGAAAAAAATAATTTATTAATCAAAATTTCTTAAGAAAAAAGGGTTATTTTTTAATCAGCTGTTTAATTTTATTAACCAGCCACTATTTCTGTCCTATGGTATTATAATTTGAATTTGCATCAATATCATCTGATTCCGAATTAACATTACCATTAACCAAATATAATAAATAACAGTAACTTCATATATTCAATAAACTAATTCTATCCTTACCGAATGTAAAACCAAAAATTATAATATCCGTTTAAAGATCCTTTGGACATCTATTAGCGAAATATCGAGACTTAGGCAATATTTTTCTGGCTAAAATATTGAGTTCGCCGTTTTTAAAAATCGGCTCAAATATAGTTTTGAACAAACGTGAAGGTGTTCCTTTTTTGAAGGCTAACGTTGAAGGTGTCGATTTTTTTTTAAATGTAGACAGCACTCGAAATAAGTTATTTTTGCTGTTCTTTTACATCTCTAGGAAATACTTAAATTTTCTTCAATTTTTTTTATGATAGGCTTAAAAAACCAAGTTATTATTAAAAAAACGAGAATTAAAATTTCTTAGGGATTGAGAAAGTAATTAGTAATTTTTATTACTCAATAAAAAAAATGTGTGAAATTTATATTTTCCAATTAAAAATTTTGGTCTGGAAAATTCTACAGGTTGAATTTGTAAAAAAATTTTTAATATAGGTGGCCCCTAAAAAATAAAGGTAGAAAGCAAATTTAAGACTTTTCGTCACATAAGTTTTTTTTAACAATCATCATTCAATTTTTCAACCAATTGATATTTATTTTTTAAAAATTTTTTTAGGCCCAACCTAATTTTGAAATTATATTTACTGGCTCAGCTCAAAGATGTAGTAAATGCCCTTTTCTAAGTTTAAGGATTGATACTATTTAGAGCAAAGATTTATTAAATAACAAAAGTATTGTTAAAACCAAAATAATTTGAATAAAGTTTTAAAAAAACTTCTCAAATGTATATAAATTTTTTAGCCAATAACATGACCATTTCATATTATCAAACCTGCCTCAGCCTTGAGGTAATTTTTTTTCTATCTTTAAATTTAAATAAAATTATTCATTTCGTTTTTTTTTACTTTCATCCTATTAATTAACTTTTTTTCCTAAATTATTAAAAATATAATCCAATTAAAATGTTTTAAAAAAATTCTAGAATGACTTGTTTCTGGAATATTACACTTATAATAAACAAAACAGAATCTAGATTAATTACTCTACTAATTAACTATAGTGTTTAAAAATAAATAATTTTTGTATTGTTTAGATAAATTAAATTGTAAATTTTTTTTTAAAAAAAAATACTAATTTTCTCCTTTTTTATGCAAAAAGGGGTGAAACAATTATTTTTTTTTCTAACTAATAAAAGCTTAATCAAATTCTTAAAACAGTTGCCTAATAAAAATAAAATAATATTCAATATTTATTGGCCTTGAAATAAATATAAGACATTTGTTATTTTTTAAATATGATCCTTGATATTGAAAATTATTTCAAAAAGTTAGAACATATGTAGATAATCCTTGGGTGACCTATATTTTTAAAAAATGCTATGGCAATTTATCTTCTAAATTTTTTTATTCACTGCAAATATTTAAATTTTTTATAATTGTACAAAAAATTTGGTAAAAAAAAGAAATTTATCAATATAAACAATTTATTATATAAGATTCACATTTTTGTTAAATGACTAAAGATAAATTAATATGGTGGTGTGGAGGAGCACTATATAACTTAAGGGTAAAAAAGGATATGGGCTGAAAAAATTTAACTTTAAATGATTTGTCTAAGAAAATTTTTGGTTGACAAAAGTTTTACTATATTATATACAAAAAATAAATAAATAGATTTCTAGAAGGATCTTTATTACATTAAAATTGTATAAAGAAAAATTATTAACAAATTAAATAAATATATTTATTAAATATTTTTTGGTTTAATATGAAGTTCAAAAAAATGAATTTTTTACGAACATAGAAATTGCTGCAAATTAGATAAATCAAACATACATTATTGCCAATGTGCCTTATACTATATTACAAAAGCTGGCTTAATGAATTTTAAAATTATGAGCAAAATTTTCTACAATTAATTTATATGGGCGGCAATTAAGTGACATGTTATAATATAATGGTAAAATAATTAACCAATTATCACAGTTTTAAAAATTAAGTCCTCTTAAATAATCTCCCAAATTTTCAACAGTTGTCGAACATTGTCCTGGTTGTATTGATGAATCATATGTTGCAATTATGATAGCTAATTTGACAATTTAAAATATGAAATATATCAATTAAATTACTCTTGCAAGTCTTTACTACTATAGCTCCACCACTTCCTTGTTTTAATCGAATAACACCAGGTTCATTTAAACTAATAAAAAAATATTTGACACCACATAGTTTTAAACCATTAGCAGCCAAAGCTTCAGGTGAATTAAATGCATTAACTGCTGCTTTAATTTCAGATGTATCTGGCTTTAAAATTACATAAATATGAAGAGGGTATATAGTTTTACCTTAAAATTCGAAGTTGAGGCCCAAATCGAAGCATCGTCAATACTACATATGGCTGCTTCCTTTACGGTATTTGTCCCAATTAGTTGAGTGTCAATATAAGCATCCCAACCATTAGCCATATTTTATATTATTATAATATTAAGCTGAAGAATGCACTACAGGAAATTGTTTTGTGGTAGACTAATTCACGAGCGAATGAGTATTGTAATCAATCAATTATCTTTTTGTTTCCACGAAATAAATAGCTATTGAACAAAATTGATCCAATCAAATTATATAAATTAGATAATATGAAATCTATGTTTAATCTTAAAATTAAATTTATATTTTATCTTAAAATGAAATATATATTTAAAAATTTCTTTGGAGTTTTAATTTTGAAAATAAGCTGAATACAGGTAAAGACACAGGATGTAACTACCGAATATATGAACCTTCCTTAACACATCTTAGGGTGTATTAAAAAATTTCTAATTAATTGATATCATATCTCTCAGTTGTGAGGCTTAGGATTTCTTTTCTTATTCTTTGGAATTATTTACCTCTTTCATTATGTTTCACTTCTAGAAGAGCTGTTATACCATGTCGGGGGTTAAATATTTTATGTCTTACCTTTAGCTTCTTTAGTTCAATATATTTCAAAATTAGTTTTCACAGTTTTTGGTAATTTTTCCTCATCATTTCTTATGGTAAGCTATACTTCCTCTACCTACTGTACCTTCCTGGTAGATTTATTAAGTTAATTATCTTCACGCTAAACTCGCCATTTAAAATATACTAAAAATTATGAATACATTATATTGAATGGGAGTAATTAGATTTAAAAATAAATAGACTAAACAAATAAAAGAGAATTATTAAATTCAAACTGATATTTTAACAAATCTTATTTAATATAGCAAAATATTTTAGTATAAAAATAATATACGCTGATAATATAGAAAGAAGTCTGTAATAGAAAGTATTTAATATGAAAATTGAAGAAGAAATGAGTTAGGGAGATTTTATCCTTTCATATTTATTTGAATCCTTTAAATATGAATAAGAATAAAACTACATTTTAATCATGTGTATTTTTTATTTTAAATTGTTATTAAAATGTAAATTACAAAAAATAGGAAAAAAATATAATTTTAAAACTTTAAATCTTATATTTTGTTCTTCTATAATCTCTTTTTTCTCTGCTTATATATTATGTTATAAATCGTTGTTAATCAATGATTTAATAAAAAGTAAAAGTTAATTTGATATAATAAGATTATTTTAAATCGTTAAGAAAAAAAATGCAAATTTTAAAACTTTAACATAAAATATCTTAAGGACATATAAAAAGAATGAAAAATCAAATGGATCACGTCAACAAAAATAACTTAGGCGGAATATTTAGAAACAAAGGGTCTATGATATAAAAATATTTAAAGATACAAATTCACATAATTTTTTAGTTCTTTCTTATCAAAACTAATTTTTTAAACTCGTTTTATGTAAGCGTCGTTGGCAAAGGAAAAAAACTTTATAACAGTTGCTTATGGCAGGGTTGCAATATCTAATAAAATCTAGATTTCAAAAGCGGATATCATAAATCTAACATTATTAATTTTATTCCATTTCATTTTTATTAACATTGGATTGTAAAATAGTTGAATTAAAAATAATAATAGTCAACATCGTTTATGACTTTTAATTATCAAATCGTGAATAGAGTTTATTACTTTTTTAGTTGTAAAGTTAATTGCAAATTATTTTAAAGCGTTTTAATCCATGGATTATGAATATTGTTGATAAAAGATACATTTTTAAAAGTAACTAGTTATATTACAAGAGTAGCGACAGTTACAATTAAATGTGATTTACATTGTAGAAATTTTGTTTAAAGGAATATAAAATTAAATACAGTTTAAAAAAATAAATAATACAGAAAAAAATATGCCACGTAATTAAAAATAAATATAATAGAGAAGTATTGCGCTAAAAAATATATTAATATAACATATTACTATTTATATTCCATAAAAATTTGATAATTAAAATAAAACAAATAAATTCAATTTTTAATAAAAATTGAGCTTAATAAATTGTTAAATAGTTTTCCTCTTAAAATAACGCCAGTGTGTACGAGGTTGGCTACGAATCCTTTCCAAATCTTAAGGAAAGGATGAGCACCTACCTCCGACCCCTTTCAACTTATTATAGTTATAAAAATCAAAATTTTTATTTAGTCATATACATTTTTATATTACATAGAAGATTAGAATTAAGAAGTTTTCATTTTTCATTATTTCTTAGAAATATTTATAAATCGCTGCCACTTCCTTATGTAAATTAAAGAGTGAGATTTCCTTCGAACAAGGGATAAATAACTCCATTTATTAACAGGTTTTGAGCCAACTCAAAAAATGTCAAACAGAATTTTTAAACGAAAACTATCATCTTCAACCTCAATCTAGGTTCAAACTAAAGGATAGCTCAGTTTTGAAATAAATATACTCTTGGCTCAAGATGTGAGAATTTTTTCGACTTTTAGGATTTAGCCTATTTAATAACACTACAGTCAAGAAATAGTCTATTTTAATAAAATCTTTTAAATGTTCACAAAGGAATCAGAAATTTGCAAATAAGTAGGTTGTTAGGATTAATCAATTTAATATGAATGACATAATATATTTTGATATTTGTAATCAGCTTCTTCTGCGTCCTTTTGTCAATTAATCCTTTTTTTTAATGATAGACTTTTTAAAAAAATCATTAAAAACTTTGATAATAATATAATATTATGTAGACGCGTCTACATGAAGAAAGTTTAATTAAGGCAAACCACTCCTAAATTTACTCTTACCTCCTTTAACAACCCCATGATATAAACAATTCTAATTTAACTCTTTCGACACATGATTATTTTGTAGTATAACAAATAAACATTGTTGGTGATAATAATTTATTTATTCCTAACTATATTCCAAACATTAGCTGCGAGCGTGTATAGTTTTAATATTAAAATGATATATGAGGAATATATATAGATTAATAAATTAAAAAATTTTTATCCGTTATTTTTATCCTTAATCAATAAATAGTGTTTATTTTATTTTAGCCCTACTCCCCTTTAGATACGAACCCGCTTCCATTTAAAGAAATTAAAGGAAAATCTCTCCAACCCCTCTTCACGTGTAAACGCTGTATGTAGGTAATTATTTACAGATGTCGCGATTAAAATATTCTATTATATCTAAAAATATACCACATTATAAAATATAAAAAAACTAGAATGATTAAAAATAAACCAATTTATAATTTATCATGAAAGCATCATGTAATCCCGTATGATAAATAACTTTGAAAAAGAGAATAAAATGACTTGAGTAAATTTTAATAAAACTATTATTTTTTATTTTAGAAATTCTTTTCAACATATTATCAAGATATGCGACGGACGGGCAACAAATATTTTTAAAACAATTAGGGGTTAACAAATTTATAATATTTTTTTGTAACGAAATGAGCAGAAAGACTGGAGAATTTATATTAAAAAAATGCATATTTTAAAAGTGTAAAATAGTGCCAAACCTTATTAATAAAATAATTTTTAGACAAATGAACGTGCAGAGGTCTGCATTCAAAAGCCCGCCCACCCTATGTTTAAAAAATTTTTTAACCCACCCGCCCAGCCCGCCCATAGTTTTCTAAAAAATATATACCCGCCCGCCACACCCATTTGTCTAAAATTCCTTACCCGCTCGCCCGCCCATTAGGCTAAAATTTTTTACCCACCCGCCCATTATTTATAAAAAAATTTTAACCCAAGCCCGCTTATAAAATTTAATTATGGCCATTCTTTCATTTTTTTAAACATCTAATAAAAATATTACAGAATTACACCTCTACAAAGAGTTTATTATTTAGGAAATTGATATAAGCATAAAAAAATAATCAATTTAAATTATGGACAATTTATTTGATAAAATTGTATATTTATTTATGAAAAAAATATAATTATAAAATTGATATTATATGTAATTATAATGAAAAAATAATTATGAATCGACATTTTCTGGATTCAAACTCGTTCTTTGTTCTAAAACCTTCCAGCAATGCTAAATTCTCGTTCAGAAGAAGCACTAGTTGCAGGAATTGCCAATATTTTTCTTGCTATTCTTTATAGCTTTGGCAAATCTCTTTCTTGTCGTTTCCACCAAAGTATTATATCCGTTTGAAGTATATCCTCTTCCTCAAGTGAGATCTTTAAATAAAAGTGAAACCAATAATAATAAATTTAATAAATTAATTTAAAATTTAAATCAATTGTAATATGCGGCTTAAAACTTTGCTAAATTATCCATATCAAAACTGGTTATTTAGGATTTAAATATTTTGTTATGCCATTAGGTACAATACTCTCCTCTGTAACAACCTAAATCCTCCTATGTTGGGGTTTAATTTTGATACGTATGCTATTTATTTCAAACATTGCATTTAATATAGCTATGCAATTTTATAATTTATTAATACCCTTTAATTTGATTCTCTTTGCTTTAGGGGAAACGGGTAAAATCCGATTTTCATCCACGTCGATGTCATGTACTTCGATGCAAATATAACCAACATGTTTTCAATATGTTTATTATTTCATTAATTTCCTCCGACGTCAAAATCCTCATTTGTCTGAACTTTTGTATTAAAAATGTTGAAATTTTATGAAGCATATGGATTTCAAATTTTCAATTATAATATTTTTAGCTCTTTTCTTTATTTCTATTTCTTACAATTTGTTTTTCCCATTATATCCATATTTAATTGATTATACTCATGTAGAAGAAGATTATACCTATTTTTTTTATAAATAAAGAAATAATATGCATAAATCCCAAAATATTAATTTTCATACCATATAAGAACGTTCTGTAGTGTAGGCCTGCAGTCGCGCTCAAGAACATTAGTTGCATCCTTATATGGCTCCAAATAATCTATCAGTGTTTATAAACCTTCCTTCCCCATAGATCCCATTTTTTCACTCATATAACGAGATTGTAAGAACGATAAAATCTCATCATACATTATATAAATGCTTTGTAACATCTTATGCTTTGTATTCCATCTTATATCAATATTTTGTTGTAACGTCTTTCTCAGATATTATGTGTTGCCACTTTGTTTGAAATAAGTGGTCAACGATTTTGCAGTGATCAAAATGTTATTAATCTAAGGAGCATTTTCCAAATTAAAAATTGGCTGGAATGCATTGCGAAGAATTGTGTTCAACATATGTGCTGAACAGTTTAGTCTATTAATTCTAATATTTGAAAAAATAAACGGAAAATATTATTCTCTAAATAAATTTGGCCTTCCAGCGCTTTTTTAATATTTGCTCCTTGGCCGGTAACAAAGATGAGCTTGGAAAAGTATTCCCAGGGAACATCAAGTTTTAAAATTTTTTTTAATAATTCTTTAAGAATATTTTCTCCCGTCTTTTTTTCCTCTTGAAATTGTAAAATAAAAAGAAATTTTTTTTTAATTTCCAATTTTGTATATAATGGATTGATAAAAATATCTAATCGGTTTTTGTAAAATCCTCGCACCACATATCTGTAGTACATGAGCAAATAAATTTTTTTATCATTTCTCCTATTTTACGAAATAATATTTCCTTAAGATCCTCAGTAACATTGGCTATGTGCTTGCTAACGGTTGTGGGGCAATGAATAATTATTTTGGCTTCCAATTTTCCATATGTGTCCACTAAGTCGGCAAATCTTTGTAAAATATTTACAAATCCTGGTCCTTGAATGGCTTGAAATGACCTAAAAAAGATAAAAGAATATTTTAATAAAAATAAATACCTATTATCTAGCGCAATATTCTACAAAATTGGCGATTAGACCCGATTTTATCATTTTGTTTAAATGAGAATTGTCTTTTTGAAAATATCCGGTTATTTTTTTATTATCTATCAAATCTTCATAATTTGCAGATGAACATATGTCAAAGGAAGAAGGATGTGCCACTTTTGTTATTATATATATAGATAGATTTGCAATCATTGCAGCGAATCCAATTTAGCTTTTTGTCATTTTCATCGAAAATGATTTTAAATTGTTTCCACATTAAAGATTTGAGTTTATTGTCTGATTCATTATCTTTAAACTTGTATAAATTATTTTTTTAGATATATTTTCTTTATTCATAATATAATTTTAAAATAAAAATTAAATTAAAATATATATTTTTATTAAAATATATTTTTTTATTAAAAATTATGTTATAAAAAATAAAATTTATATATTATATAATAAAATAAAAATGAAAAGATCAATTATAAAGATAAACAATTATCTAAAATAAAATAATACAATGCATATTGCAGACCCATAAAAGGAAATTTTAAGAGAACGTTTTATTACATTCCCATAAAAGGAAATTTTAAGAGAAAAGTTTTATTTCATTCCCATAAAAGGAAATTTTTAATAGACAAAAATGTTTATTTATTCTAAGAAAAAGTTTTATTGTTGTGTTTATTACATAATATAGTTAGGTAAGTGTTCTTCACTTTAAAAAAAACGATTGGTATACAATAAAAAAAGAAATATAATTATAGATCATTTAAACAATTATTTTCTTTAGTTTATTTTTGAACAAAAATTTAAAATTTCTTTAACCCGCCCGTCCATTGTTTAAATTTCTTAACCCGCCCACCCACTTAGATAGGCGGGCGTGGGCTGGCGTGGGCGGGCGTGGGCGGGCGGGCCGAAACCCCTCCCAATGCAGACCTCTAGTTTGCACATAAATTATCGCCTTTCAAACGTGTTTTTTTATATACTATATTTTGTCATCATATACGTCATATTTTGAATCTATGGAAATTCCGAATATCTTCATTTTTACTTATATGGCAATTTTTTATTTAAAACATCTAATTTGGCCAGAAATGTACATTCCTTAATGTATAACATACACTATGAATTTCAGACGTGCCATGAACTTTAATAAAAAATTTTTTAAAATTTATATTAGAAAAAATTGATAATAAACAGAGTATTTCTAAAGTTTAAGGCAAAATTGTCTGAAATTCTACAACGCTGATATTTCTGTCAAGTCAGGCATTTTAAACTTGAAAGTCATCGGATTCCATATCCTAATCCGAATAATATACATTGCTACTTTCAAAAAGAGATTCTGAGTGTCATCATAATTTTTTTTTAAATTTTTTCAACTATTAAAATTTAAATAAAATAAATAGTTTATGAAATCATTTAACCATTCAAAAAGATATATTAAGTATAATAATTATTGAACCAAGTGCTAAAAGTGTAATTGCATCGAAAGAATTTGGTTCAAGCAACGACTTATCTATTCACGAATTGATTAATTTACTATTCGGAATTATACCAATCGAATAAAAATAATACAACTTACTATTCGTACAAAAAATTCGAATACGAATATTCCTTTATTCGATTCGTAATTAAATAATTAATTTAAATGAAGAAATAAATACAAGAAACATTCCTAGAAAATTGAAAATATGAATTTCTTTAAAAGTAAAACGTAAGAAAATAAAATAGTATTGTTCGAAAACATCGTAGAAGATATTTTTTGAAAAAAAACTGCGAATTCAAGATTTTAGATAAAAAAAAATACATATCCCTCGAAATTTAGTAGAGAGATAAACCTTTCTCGTATCTATATGCGAATCCCAAGGATAAAATAATATATTTTTTTCTGAGTAAAATCTTGATTTTTATTTTTTATAAAATTGACATAAGTCAAGGTTTTAGACCACACTAAATAAAGACCAGAGTTATGGAACAAAAAAAGGCTCTAGTTCTGAATATTAAAAGAAATATTATTCTACTTCCAGTTTCCTAAAATTTTTAAAAATGTGGGCTGTTTTCATTTCTTAAATTTGACGCAGTTCGGAGGTTTCCAGTTCTTGCTCGCGGCTTTTCTGCTTTAGGCTGCATTCATAGTGGGCTCCGATCCAAAGATGTATTTTTAAAATTAAGTTATCTTTAATTCCATCAGTGATAATTTAAGAATTAATAATATTAATAAAGAAAAATTGATCTCATAAACAGATTTTAAAAATAGATCAGCTGTTATCTCACTGTGAATCAGCCTAATGAGTAAGTATAGGTACACATGAGCAGCAGAGATATTTAGACACGCCATGGCCAATTCTTGATGTTCACCGTGTATATAGCAAAAACTTGTTAAAATAGGTTTCTGGAAGTTTTAAAATGGTTGTTTCCTATAAATTTTAAAAGATGGTTCCAATTTACCTAGATTTGTCCAAGTTCATAAAAACTCTGCATAAAACCCTTAGAAAGTGTATATATTTTTCAATCAGATGAGGAAAACTAGAAGTGCATTTGCCCCCTCCTCCCATGGGCTTATATCTCAAATATCTATGTATGAAACTGTGCAGAAATATATCTGACTTCATTTTAAAGTTTTCCGTGGTGGTTAACGTAGTAGAGATAAAATCGTAAACTTTTTATTCTTGACCCTTATAAAGTCAAAATATACATACTCTGAATTTCGCTGTTATGGCGATAAACGAATAAATTAAATACTAAGGCCGTGTCCTTGTTCAATTTATTATTGAACTTCGTCGTTTAGCATAGGCTAAACAGCTTTCGGACTGGGACATCCTATTTTGATTTGTTTTAATTGTGCATTTTTTTTCTTACTTTCGATACAGCCTCCTGCTTGATGAAAATGTATCGAACTAAGACACAGCCTAAGGGAGTGTCAACCTCGGATTATTTTAATCGGTCCTAACTATGACACCCTATTTTGACTAAATTAAATAAATCTTATTTGTCATTTATATATTTTTTAGGTACAAATAAAACAGGTGATCGATCCTTGTTCCATAAATCAATATCGCCTCTTTCTTTTTTATGTTTTATTTAGACGGCTGTTTAGAAACAATCCACATTTTTTGCCACCCAAAATTTAAGATGAGGATACAATATAGTATGGGCCAGTTTTGGACATTTTAATTGATTAACATGTGAGACATCGGCATGATAATTTATACCAGAGTTGTTAAGGAGCGGTGCTACATTTCAAAAACACCTGGACCTCCTTTTTTAAATTAAGGTGCGGGAGCGTGAGCTAGCTCTTTTTAGGGTTGGAGTGAAGTAGCGCCCCACCACTTCTTTAAATTTAATGTATAAATTAAATTATTTTATAAATATTAATAATATTTGTTAATTAAAATTCAATAAATACAAATTTTATTTAAATTTATCCATTATTAAATGTTTAGCCGAGTTTTATATTGGTTTTTCATCTAATCATTTTACATAATAAACATCAAGTTTTTCTTTTTATATTGAAAATTTTTTGAAAAATCTTGTAAGTCATATTAATATTCATTTTATAGACAAACAAAAAATAGTTTTATTATGGATTTAGTGATCATAGATGAAGAAATCGAATTTCCATTTCCATCATACAAAAAATATTTTAAACTTTTAAAAGATATTAATCCAAATGATCAAACAAATTTAAGGGCAAAATGCCTTTTGTGTTTAAATAAAACTATTTAATTTTCAAAGAGCAGCTTCAATCTAAAAAAGCATCTAAAAGTAAAAAATCTTTCTTTTAAATATAAAAAGATTTAAGATTTTTTTGGATTCCATGAAATTGATCATCAGGAAGATAATATATTGGACAAATATTTTTTAAATAATAATACCAAAATTACTATTTTTGAGAATTCCATTAAATAAATATATCTTTATAAAATACAATACCTCGCTTCCCTCTAGTGCTCCTGAGGAGCGCCTATTTAGTATTACAAAAGAGGTCTTAGGAGAGAGGTGTGGATGTTTGTTAGATTCTAATTTAGAAAATATATTACTTTAAAATGCTAATAAAGGGTTTTAAATATTTTGATAGATCATTTAATATAAATAAAGCTTTTTGATAAAAAAAATATGATTTTGTTTCATACACCTTCTAAAAAAATGAAAAAAGGAGCGGTTATGGAGTGACACTCCATTACTTGGAGCGGGAGTTGCTCCTTTTAAAAATGTAGTAGCGGGAGTGGGAGCTAGCTTCTCTAGAGAAGGTAGGAGCAGGAGCGGGAGCTAGCTACTTTTAAAAAGGAGAGTTAACAACTCTGATTTATACTAATGCTGCTCAAAAATTAACAACGCTAAACAAATTTTTTTTATTATAAATATAAACAACAAACATATTCATCCATATAATATAAATATAATGTTTAATTTTTCACGATAATATGTCCAATATAATACATCGAGTTGCCACTTAGTTATAAACATCTAAATCCAACTTTTATACTATAAATGTCAAATTTTTATATCATTCGGTTGCAGCGTAATGCCGATATTCGGGTTTGAGTTCCCACATATTCTTGTGCGGATTTTTAAGGTTGTAATCGCAAATTTCTTTGAGAACTTCTTTAATGTAAGTCACGGGTTGTTCCGAAATCTTGACCAAATCCTTGAGACTATAATACTGATGTTTTTCGAAAGCGGTAAATAAAATTTCCATCAACCTCTCCTTTTCTATCCTGACTTTTTTGTAATTCGATGGAGCGTCGTTGGTTGAGGCGAAAGGGTCGCCTCCTCTAGGTCCATGCAAGGCAGTCCTCGATATGGGTTTGTAATTTTGAACGTGTTTATCTAGCTGTTTAAGCACGTGGATTGGTTGATTTTTTTGTGCAAATTGTTGCTTTTTAAGCTAAGTTAAAAAATATATTAATTAGAATATTAAAGTTGGTGATAAACAATGATTTGCAAGAACGTTTTCCAAAAAAAGAGTCTGAAAGACTGGTGGGGAATCCTTTCAACAATCTACAAAATGTTTATTTACATTATATTTAAGCCCTTCATTAAACCTTTCTTCAAGAATACTATTGTTGCGTGGACATTATGTCTTGGAAGCAATCCTAGCTCTTAAAATACTATTAGAAAGGTCCATAGCATGGAAGAGTCAACTTTTTATTGTGGATTTAGACTTCAAAAAAGCTTTCAATTCAGTCATACAAATCATTATGTGAAGATTTTTAAAGGGACTGTGATCCAAGAGAAATTGCTAACCCTACCATAATACTCCAAATCATACATGCAGGACTAAAATTATCTGTTAGAATTTATCTGAAAAGGCTGCTTTTACACTCATTGTTTCAACTTTCATTCTAAATTATATTATAAAAAAAGAAAAATAGCCTGTTTACTTTTGCCGATGATCTATGTATGACAAACATCTATTAATAATAAATAATGTAAAAATAGGGGAAGTTAGAACTTAAAATATTTAGGGGTCACCCTAGATATGAAAGGAAAGATGGACAAAGATATCAATATTAAGATGACTATGACCAGATTTAAATATAATTCCTTCATGAAGATTTGTTCTTCTAGCCCTTTCTATTGATAAGCCTCTTCAAAGCTTTGGTGCTCTCATTGTTTTACGATGGTATTGAGATGTGGAAAATGGCTAGGAACCATAACAAAAATTTCCAATTGTTTATCAATGAGTGCCTATGTCACCTAACTAAGATCTTTTATCCTAGTTCTGTGGAAGATGTAATTATCTCCCTATATATCTAATGATAAAGTATAAATAGAGCCAATTGGTCAGGTGCTAAAACAATTTAATATATCAAAAGATAAAGTACATCTGGCCAAAACTTAGTTACAACCTTCCTTATAAAAATAAAATTGGCAAGGATTGATCACTAAATTGAAGAAATGGGTCTTACATGAAATATCATCAATAATACTGTTACAAAGATACATAACTATCAAGACCACTAATAAGGAATGATTAGCTAACTATAAATAAACATTTATGGAATTAGTTTAGGGCAATTTAATATAAATTCTTCTATAATCAAAAGTAATAAATTAAATAATTTCAATTATAAGTCCCCTTGAATACTATTACACTGTCATAAAGTTATATTTTGGTTAGCTAAATAGTTGTATTAATGCATTAAATTCAGTAAAATATATATTTATTGATATTTTCAATTTTCCTCTGAACCATGTAAGATTTCAGACTGGGATTAAAATAATTTTTTTTAAAATTTGGGCAGAGCTTAAAATGTTGAGCCTAGTGCTCTAATAAATTTATTATAAGAATAAAACACAAATTACTTACATTCATATAATCTTTTGAGCTAACTGATGGTCTAAATTCAAGTCTTTGACTGACTTTTCCTTCTATTGAATATATAGAATTCATGCTATTATTATCATAATCTGTAAAAAGTTTGGTTTTATTGTTTATAGTATTTTGTCCACCATTATCTTCATCTGTTTAAAAAATAATTTAATAGGAAATTTAAATTAACAATTAACCTATCTTTTCTGTATGAGATGATATAAACATAGTATTATTTGAAACCGCATTCATCAATACCTTATGTTGAGAAGGAGTAGTGTTTAGTTTCTATAATTTTCAATTAGTTTATATTATAAATCATTTCAAAATTACATTTGATTGATTAGACTTGAGAAACTTTGGATTCGAAACGAAAGAAATCTCTGGACCTTTCGTTCTTGCGTCCTTGACATTTTTTCTTATATTTTAATTTTCAATGAATATATTAATTAATTACTTTGTTTTATCAATAGTTATTTTTCCAACTTCTTCATTTTCGCAATTAGACCAATTTTCTGTTATATATTTAGGAATCTATTTAGCAGGTAAAAAATATATTGGGAAATAATATGCAACCTTAACCAACCAAATATTCTTGTTACAGTTAGAGAAATCAATCTTGCGTCCGCTCATTTCTTTTTCAGATGGTAGACCAACTTAAATTATATTTTTATTTGATTTGAAGTTAGTACTAAACGATAACCGTTTTTATAAGCCATTCAATTCTATTAATGATAAAAATTATACACCTAAATCTATCAAAACTAGGAAATCAAATTGTCTAAAATAATATAAGGAAGTATTTAATAAATAAATAAAGAATTATTAATATGAAATAGGTAAAAATTAATTTTTGGACTGAGATTGAAGTTTTAAGGTGTGGGATAGAGGCAGATATAGATTACTTCAGTCTGAATACCCACTAACGTGTCTGATGATATAACTAGTAATATGCCTAATATAATCTTTTTATGAATCTGTCTTCAATTTTGATGTCAGAGAACAATAGAACAACGAAAACATTATCTACTATTAACAATCTTTTTTTATATAAAAATTTAAATAAAAAAATAATCATGATAAACAGATTTATATATACATATAATATATATAGAATTCTTGACTTCCATTTTTCTCTTTTTTATGTCTTTTACATATATAATAGATAACTTTGATTATAATTTTTTATCATTCTTAATCAAAGGATATTTTCATAAACACAAAAATATTTTAACTACACGTAATAGAAAAAATATTCTAAAAAATAGAAAATCTAACTATGAAACCGATAACTTTCTTTTTGAAAAAGAAAAGCTTACTACACGAGGTAAAAATTATAAATATCCATGTGATGAAATAGATTCTATCCACATTATTGCCGATATTATGACTCTCGAAGCGAAAAAAAATCCCTGGCCTAATGAACCAGATGCTTATGAATTATTGGATATTATAGGTAAATTATTTTATAACATTTAAATTTTAAAATTATATTTATGGTAATAATTCATATACACATTCAAAGTAACTTTTGTACGTCTAAATTATGAAAACTGAATACATATAAAATAACATTGATAAAAATTTTATGATTCTGCTTAACTAAACGATAGATATTAAGATAAAAAAAAATCATGTTTTTTATCTATTCAAAAAAATATTATAATGCTGATATTATATAATACATTAATTAAATTTATTTATGTTAATTACCTTAGTATTTATTCTGCAAGTTATCACTCAAAATAAATTTTAACAAATTTAATTATAAATGATGTTATATTACATAATCTTATATAAATTTTATTTTAATACATATATAGTTTTATTAATTATTTACAATCATATATTTTATGAATTTTTTTATAAAATATCTTGCATAAAATATAATCAAGTTAAAAATTTTATGGTTAGTATAATTGTTAAAATCGGGAAATTAATTATTGATTAACATATAAACATGTAAAAAAACAGAATTCATTTCAAGTTTTAACAAGATTAATTTGACATCAAGTTTGTTTATCAAAAGAGATGCACATGATAAATTAATTAATATCAATTTCAAAATTTGATTGACCAGTAGATAAGAAATGTTTAGCAATTTTTTTTAAAATGACTATATATATTCTTAATTTGTATTGTTATTAAAATCATTTTTGTTTATGCATTTTTTGTCATTTCCTATTATTTTTTTATAAATTTTTTTTTTGTAAATAGGTTTGAGGGTTATACTATAATATATTAAAATATATTAAGATTTGGTTTTTTTTAAATTTAATTTTTTTTTTTTTAACATTTTACAAATTTTATTTTAAAGCTAATAAAAATTATTCCTCACTACCTTCAAATTTAAATTAAAAAAAGTCTAAACCCAAAATATATTTTTTTTAAATATAATCTTGATTAGTGTTGTTAAGGGCTTGATTTGAGATGATTTTTAGAATAGGATAACTCAATAATGGCCTGGCTCAAACTAAACAAAAATTAACAATCTGTCAACATAAACATAAAAATATGTGAAGTGAAAAATTTATAATAAATCCATAGATATCATAAAATATCATTTTGCAAAATGTTGCCCATTTTGAATTTGCCTTTTGTTTATTTTTAATTTTTTGGAAAGTAATAAAAAGGAATTTAAAAAATAAATTTTCAAAAATAGGTGTTTTAAAATAGTGTTGTTAAGTGGCTCGATTTTTTTAAAAAATGGCTAACCCAATATTTTAGCCAAAATTACCCAAGCTTATAGACTTTTTCTCAGATGCCAGAATGGACATCATTTTGTTAAGTAAATCTCAAGGCTTGCATTAATTTTTTAGCGAAATCAAGCTGTTTAGGAACAAGAAGTTTTAAAAGAGTCACTTACATAATTGTTTTGATCATCTTTTTAAAAATCAATCATTATGTCATTCTTTAATTTTAGGTGAATAATTATTTAAAGCTAACCTAAATTGTATAAAAATCAATAGGGTATGGGGCCACGGCAACCGTTCAGGCCGCTTTCTGTAAGAGTAGAAACGAAAAATGTGCTATCAAAAGGATAAATTTAGACAAATGCAATGTGACCATGGACGAATTACTGGTAATCTTGTTTGATAATATAAGTGTATATATATATATATATATATATCATAGACCTTCAGGTCATTTTTTTTAAAAAATACTTGGGTTGGGCCGAATATTTTAAACCGTCATTATTATCTACAAAAAGTAAAAATTAATATAATATATTTTTTTTTAAATCCAAGCCTAGCCTAACAAATTTAGTTGAAAAAATAATTCGGGCTTAGCCTAAAAATATAAAACCCGAACCAGACCGAAAACTTTTTTTTAAATCTGGGTCGTACCGGGCAAATGGTACCTCTACAGGTCTCTAATATATGCACACCTTTTTATAACAACGACTAAATTTATTTTGAACCTCATAATTAATGTATGAGAAAAAATTGAATCTTCTGAAAGCTGATTTAATATGATAATAGCCCAACTCAGGAAAATTTTTTAATTGGGTGAAATATATTTAAATATAAATTAGTACTTAGACTAAAGCATTTGAGCCTATTTTTAAAAAGATAGCAATATCTTCGCCAGAAAAATACTGTCCAAGTCTTGAGATTTCTCTAATAGATGTTCAAACGTTTGTGCCATTTATGAAGAAAATCTTCAGGCTTGCGTAATATTTTTCCCGGATAAAATATTGAGTTAGCCGTTTAAACACAAAATTAAAGGTTTTAGAGAGATATGGGTTAGGATTCATTGAAGATGTATTAAAAATGCTTTTTTTCAAAATAAATTACTCATTTTCTTATTAAAAACTTTTCAAACCTGACAGGTCACGTGAGTAAAAATAATTTCCTTGTGTCGGACCATAATCAATATCTATCTATACATATATTTTTTGAATAATTCGATTTCTTTTTTTAAATTAATTAGGAAATAAATTGAATTTTGTTTCCTTTTATACATTTTTTTTATTTGATAGGAAATTAAAAATTATGGTATAAAATAAATTTAAAAAATGCTGTATATTTTTAATTAATTTATTATAGGAAAAATTAGAAATCATTTTTAAAAAAAAATATATACTGCAAAATTATGATCATAAAATAACCAAAAACAATGAAAATATCGCATAGTATCGGGTTTGAACTCAATCCGATTTTTAATAGCCGGTCGATGTCAGCCCGATTTGATTTTTAAGATCGTCACGGCCCTAATACACGTTCATTCAAAAAAGTGTTCCATTTATTTTATTGTTTCTTATAAATAATAATGTATTCATATAGGTACATCATTTTTTAACATTTTGAAATATTGGTCAAGAGAAGAGATTTAAAGAAAACAAAAAAAATATTATGATTAATAACTATAAAAAATATATACAACCTTTAGCTAACAAAAAATCGCATGTTCTCCTTATACCCGAACTCTTAAAATTTTATTCCTATAACCGAACCCTTTTGTATGTCGAAGAGTTCACATCCCTGAGACAAAAAATCTTCCAAAATGTTTATCATCATTTTTATTAATTCATAAGTTTAGAGAAGAAGGTAAAATAAAGTTATAATAGTAATGATTTCTTTAAAAATAAACCTTAACAAAAAAATAATCAATAGGAAATTCAGTGAATATATATATTAAGATATAAAATGTGTAAGATCAAGCCGCTATTCGACTCCACTAGGAGTTTGAAAAGGGGGAAGAGGGGTATCAGTGATGGGACATCATAAGAAGAATATTTTATATTTGTTATTGAACATAAAACGAAAAGTACCAGAAATCGCAATCACATTCACTCATTTCGCAAGAATTGAAGTTATTTTTTTGGTTAAATTGTAGGGTTTTTTATCTCAATTCTAAAAAAATAATACTCAATCAAAGAAATATTAAGTTCGATTTATTTTAATATAACATAGAATTGCATTAGAGCTTTAGGGATTTCAAAAGCGACGTTTTTTTTAGCCACTCGATATATTTTCAGCCAAAAGGTTAAATTATTTAGATTTTGATGGTGTGCCTCTTAGAGCTCACAATTTATGTGTGGACTTTTTTTTAAAATTATAACCGAGTTTTCTGGAAAGTTTTTTAGAGTTATTAAAATTTGGGTCATTTTAATTAATGTTGTTAATGTAACCTAAGTATCTTTTTTTGAGGAACTTTAACTAGTTACATTTTGGGAAAAAATTAACTTTAGTTTGTTACTATTGTAACTTTTTAGGCAGATTCAAAATTTCAATAAAACAGTATTCAAAATACACTAAAGCCCAAAAAATGCCTGATATTATATATCTAATTTGATAAGACACTATGTATACTTCCGCTTATACAAATATTTAGATTATAAATTATATTTAAAAATAATACAAAATACACAATAAGCAGAGTTGGCATTCGCGCGCATTTAAAATTTAATTATTCTCAAAAATTTAAAAATAGAGTTATGTATGACCTTCTAATTTATTTATGGGTTTTGGGATCTTTGAGGGTCCCTCAAGGGCAATAAAATCTAAAGGGTTTCCATGGGTCTTTCCGCCTCTGTATACAATATTTAAAAAAAATAAAAGGATAAAATAAAGAGAAATTAAGAATGGGCGGATATTTATGAAGGTTGAGATCGTAAATGCCTGAAAGTAAGGAAAAACATAACCGGAAATATAATGAATCGCCATTTTTAATACTTTTTGTAAAATACAGGAAATAATAAATGACCATTTTTAATACTTTTGTAAAACATGCCCGGAAATCTAATGAATCAAGCATTTTAAATACTTTTTTGTAAAATATAATGAATCGCCATTTTTAATACTTTTTGTAAACAGGAAATAATAATTGGCCATTTTTAATACTTTTTTTAAAATATGGCCGGAAATATAGAGTATTAATGCTTTTTTGTATTTTAAATTTTAATTTATTAATAGTTGGAACTGCGAGCCAGATCTGTCAAAATTATATAATATCATCATAAAATAATATAATTAATTTTTCAAAAACAAAATGCAATCTCGGATTTCAAATTTTTTTAAAAAATGTTATATAAATAAGATATTAAATTTGGAACTCATGTGTTAGAAAAAACAAATTAAAAATGCGTCGCGATTAAAACGCTCGAAGGTTTTAATCGCGTTAATTATTTCTTTTTTTTTATCGCTAGAAAGACAAATTTAAAAAAATATTGTCTTGTATGGAGAATGGATTATGTTAATATATTGTATTATTGATTTAAATGAATTAACTCTCGATTACATTATTTGCACCTGGTGTCTACTCGCCCCGTGTTAGGGGGGGGGGAACTAATATTAATGATTGAAGCTGATCAGAATGAAGAATTGAAGAATGCATAAGATACCATTTAATAAGGGTAATCGGAAGTGGATTCTTTAGGAAAACCCAATAGTGAGGAAAAAAAATTGAGAACGTAAAAAAAAAATTTCAACGGAATATGTCATAGCTTACAATTAAAATCCATCTTGGTCTCCAGCCTATTGTCTACGTAGAGGTAATAAGTAATTTTTGAAGGTGTGCTATGCGAAACGATTAAATATAGTGTTCATATAATACATAAGTTCCAAGGACAAGTCCGTTTTATCTATCGTAATTCATGTGCTTAAACGAAACTGTGTCTAAGTCTATTCACGCGTTACAGATTTACACGATGACTTGCTTACCTTAGTATATTCCCATGGCTATTTAAGAATTATCGTTTTTTGAAACACCCTCTCAGCAAACGATTTTGGCCCAGCCTGATTTACGATATTTTTGGTGGGTGAAAAGAAAAATTCTAAAATATATATCAATTAATCGAAACAAACGCCTCATTTATAGTAAACGCGATTGGTTCAAGTTGTGCGGTATGTAACGCTATCGAAATTACAGCTGATTCTTTGAAATATACGTCGCAACATATGTTTTTCAAATTTTATCATTGTTTTCATCGTTTCGCTCCACATTTATAAATTATACCCAATTTATTGGCCTGATTTTGTAAATACCGCACGGCCTGATCAAGTGTAATTATTCCAAATTTCTGATTTTATAATTTGACATTATGTCGGTCACCACGCCAAATAATTTTTTTGTTTGTTATAAAAATAAATATTTTCGCGAAAAATATTGAAAATTACTAACCACGATAATTATATGATCAATTTGACTATTTAAGTCAATATTTTTTTGTGTGTGTTTCATACAAATGATAATTTCAGATAGAGGTTACGAGATTCGTCTACTAATCTAGTAATGGGGAGTAAGAAAAAAATATGTATGTTTCAGATCATCCTCGTTGTAATAGTAAAAAAAAAAATCAATATTATGAAAAATAAATGTAGGATGACTGACACATTGTTAAGAAAGGAAAGAAAAAGGAACTGTTAACATTTTTAAACCAAAATTATAACTTAAAGAGGAAAAAAAAATAAAGATAGATAGAGAGATGGTTTTTAAGGTTCGGTTCTGCCCTATTTATAAATTGTTTGGAATCGGGAAAAAAGTATTTCCTTAGGTAAAAAAAATGTAATAGATGAGATAAAGGTCTGTTACGGCTTCGTTTATGATAAGCGTGGAAATACTGCGATGTCGCTTAGTCGAGACATCATTTACAAGATTACGGAATGTTAAATTATTACAGTTATAGTGATAAAATTACGCATATGCTTGAACAATATCGCGGTATTTCGCGCTTACTATTAACGGCGCCGTAAGGATAGTGGTTTTTGTGAATTCGATCATTCAAAAATAATGTTGGTTACTATTATCTTATTATTATTAATGGTTTGATTTCAATACGAATTGTCCCATAAAGTAATGCGAATTAAATGATGAATGTTTGTTTGCTATTTGCTCCCATCACACGATAATTCGGCCTAAGAACATGTTCAATTTTTAAGATAGTTGAAAATCCGCCAAGGTAAACGGTGCGATTTTTGAATTACGATTTTAAATTTCGGATTTTGGGGGCCAGCAGATTCTGGTATATATTCTCAAAAAACTGATTTTGCTCATACTTTTCGCCTTCGTTCCTCTTCAATCTCTCTTTTTTTTAAAAAATAATCATAGACATCTTTAAGCGATATTAAATATAACGAGTCTCGAAAATTTTGAGTGTTTGCTTTTTAATTTATAATATTTGAATTGCATCCATGGCCTTTATTTGATAACTACCCGAAAAGGGAACGCATTTATTTTTACAATATCGCGTCAATAAAATAATATCTATAAGGACTGCCTGCTTATATATCACCCCAGGACATTATTCTTGGTTATTATATTGATTTTTTAATTTTAATCACAATATTATTCATATTTTTATTAAAAATGATTTATTATTAGACCTGGCGCAATTATTAAAAAATCTAATAAACGGCTATAAATTTTATAAGATAAATTTTTTTTGCTTATTAATTTAAAAAAAAACAAATATATATACACTATTCTACAGATATCTCGGCATATTTTTTAATATTCATTTAATAGAAAACTTCTTATATCCAAAATCGATTTCGTAATTTAATTATCATGTATAAAAATTATTTTATTTAAATTTTTGGGACATAATGATGATCTCCTTGAATTTAACGTCAATCCAGCGGTAGGGAAAACTCTTTCACTATGTGAGGTGTGCTAGTCGCCGGAATGCAAAGAATTTTTCTGGCGAGCCTGGAAAGATTGGGAAGTTCACTCTTCTTTTCTCTCCTTAGAACGTCCATATCTTGTGAATGTCGTTTTCCAAGAAAACTTTGGCATTCTTGTTCTAAGTCACCTAACTTGGAATCATAATTTATATTTGTTGAAGGTTTATTTGCCAATTTTGTCAAATAACTTGAATTTAATAATACATCCTCATTAGCTATATTTACTACCTGATTATCATCATTCTCTATAAGTTTAAGATGTTTTATTATAAATTCTGAAGCTGAACAATTTTTCTCTATTAAATACTTTGACACAATTGTCTATTTTTAAAATCTTGGATCTAAAAGAGAAGCCAATACCTAGATAATTTTAAATAAAAAAATAAAAGAATATACTTATATAATATTACTTGCAGGTTACAAACCGGAAATCTTAATTTCAAGTTTTTTTTAGTATATTTTCCTTAAGTGAAATAATTTCAGAACTATCACTATCATTTACTTTTAAATGTGTTTCAATTTCACTTCTAAAAAGTAACGCCAAGTTTAAAGTAGGCCCTTTTTGTACTGAAAGAAATTCGATAGTTTCTTTAAATTTTGAAAGAAATGCTAACAGTTCTTCTACCAGATCAGATTCATAATTTGAGAAAGTGCTTCCCAATTCTTTTCAAAATATTATTAATTAAATTCTTATTTAATCCAGATATGCTTTCTAGCATAATTAATATACTATGCCAACGTGTTGGGAAATTTAATTTTAAGGTTTTCATATGCGTGGAATTATTGTTATTATTATCATTGGAATTGCCAATTTGAAACCGGGTATCCGGTTATGGATCAATGCTGTCAAGATCTAACATGTCTGATGTTAAATCTATTGTACTTTATCATTTTCTTTGATATTCCTCGAATTCAAATTCAACCTCTGCAGTTTTATATCTTAGAGCAGTAATAATTTCTCTAATTGTTTCGCAAAAAATTTCCAGATTATTATCCAGAGTTAGGGTACTAAAATTATTTAAATTATCAAAGTAGATGCATCCATTTTAAAAATATGTAAAATTATGGTAACTTTTGAAATTTTTGATTGATTGAATTCTATAATGACGTCAATATAATTAAGATTTTAAAATAGTAGAAAATAAAAATTCATCAAAATCCTGATTGACATTAAAAAATTACAAGAGTGATGTTGGCCAATTATTAGAATAAAAAGGTAGAAACGGCGGCGCACCGGCGTGATTTTCTTAACGGCGACGTTTTCGGCGTAATCAAAAAGGGCGGCCGGCCGACCGGCGCACAGGTCTATATATTATAAAAAAATTTAATATAACACCATCTATATTACATTTTTTTATTTAGATAAATAATAAAAATTCAAATAAAATTAAAAAAACAAAAATGGCTATCGAGATTTTTTATTAAATCGTTTAATAAAAAGGTAATAAATATTTTTAGTGAATATTAACACCCAAAAAAAATCCCTTTCTAATAATGTTAATTTTTTTATTTTCACCGGAAATAAGAAAACACTTGAAATTTTTTAATTTTTTTTAATATTTTCCAACGTAAAATTTTAAGGGCTATAAAATGATATATAATTTGTAAATCTATTTTAAGTATTATTTAAAATAACAAGATTTAATGAAATCACGCACTTCGCGATTTTGAAGGTGTATATCTTTAGATCTGGTTGAGCTAGCACTCTAAAATTTTGATTTTATTAACATTTACAACATAAATAACTAACATGCCAAGTTTCATTCATTTAAGATGGTCGGCCGAAAATCTCGTTTTTTTGGTCGATTTGACGTGGAATCACTCAAATTGCTAAATTAAAAATTCTTTTTAAATTAATCTAATTAGAAAGAAATTACCGTGATGAGCCAATGCCACCACGAGAACGTTGTCAGTTATTTTACTTCCTTCGTGGTCAAAGATGAATTGTGGTTGGTTATCGAATTGTTGAGAGGAGGTAATAGAATTTAACTCATTATTTATATTTATATTTTTTCCCTTTTCCTAAATCAATTTACACAAAAAATGTTCTATATATATTACTTACCACCCGAATCGCCCTTTAGTTTGTTTTTAAAAATTTGGCTGTTTTTAAATGAATCTAGCGGGAAGAGTTGAAGTGGGAGGGGTAGGAAGAGATTTTAAAAAGTATAAATAAAAGAAAAGAAGTAAGAAAAGAAAGAAAAAGAGTGAGAAACATTATGATTGGAGTACAACAATGAATGGTGGACATTTTAGAGATTTTGGCAGTCTTTTTATATGCTAAAGAAAGAAACGAGTGTGAAATGTCAAGCGCCAGTCTTGTCGTTTATTTTCTTAGGCAGTACGTTATAACCGGAAATAGAATTTTATTATAAAAAATGTATGTTAAAAATGAAGAAATATTATTTTAGCTGTTCATTTCTATCTTTAAAATCGAGATATAGGCCTTTTTTAGTCGTACCCTATTTTTTGTAATTAAGCCCCCTGTTAGATACGTTTCTCACGTGATACAGAGGTGTGATAATAGTCTGGCAGATTAAGTAATATAGCGTCATTCATTTAATCAGATTTCGGACAAAAAAAATGCATTTCACTCGAGCATGAATTCATTGAGGACGATGATGACAAAGAAGATTAAAACCTTAAAATGTTTGCACTAAGTTTTAAATTTGAATCTTTTATTATCATGATTTTGTTTTTACTATTATTGCCACTATTTTTTTTAAGTAGTTAATCATTATAAAATTAAGGATGATGTGGTTTTGAAAATAGATTAACCTCACTATTTAATTAAAAATTGAATGGAGAAAAAAAAACAAGCAATAAATAACAGGATTTTGTAGTTGTTAATTTAAGGTATAACACTGTTTCTTAACCAGCAACTTTAAATTTTAATCAAATATCATTTAATTCTTTCAGCTTCGGGTTATCTTACATCAAAACAATTTAAGATCAATCATTGATACCGGCTATTCCGTTAAATAATACTTTGAAAAATTCAATATTTTTATTCTTTTTAGCCTTTCACAGTTAATTGCTAATGCAGGGTAACCCCTCATCGGCAGTTAACTCGAATTCGCGGCGGAGAATTTACTTCGCCGCGAATTCGCGCTAACTATGAACGCAGGGTATAACATATTCCCCCCATATTTTGTTTTTAGGTTCCTTGCTCGACGAAATAAAGAGAATAATGAGATCTCAGGATTGCAAGAATGGGGTTTTAGAGGAAGTTCTTATAGCGACGATTATGAAGGAGGTCCTCAAGGGAATCGAATATTTTCACAATAATAATCAGATACACAGGTTTTCAATAAATTAAATAAATATGGCAATAAAATTAAAATAAACGAATTTTAAAAAATAGAAAGAAAAGAGAAAAGAACATTTAACATTTAGTTTAAAAATTAATATAAAAATATAGATATAAACCCTTCTTCCTTTTTTTTTATTCTAACAGAGATATCAAAGCGGGTAACATTTTGTTAGGCGAAGATGGTGCGGTTCAAATAGCAGGTTTATATGGGAAATCTATAAATATATATATATGTAAATAATATGGTATTTTTAATTATATCTTAAAACTTCGAAACAATTGAATACCCGTTTCTCTGCCAATCATTTTTAAATTGAATCATATATTATAAAAATTTACACTAATGAATAAAATTTTAACTTTTAGGCAGTATTCATAGCGGAGACGGATCCTACGTTGTATCCGCTCCGTCAAAAGTCAAAACTCATTAAAGATGATATAAATTTTCATTGTAGTTTCCGTTCCGATTTCCGTCTTAAAAATGGATCCCGCTAATGTTTAAAGATCGTTTTAAAACGACATATAATAATTTACTTAAAAAATATTTATAAACTTAACGATTTTATAAAATAGAGTAATGGATTTCATTTTCAGACCATTTTTAATATGGTGGACTTAAGTATCTAATTATATATTATTGAAATATTATTCGCAGAAAATAAATTTAATGAATTTAAATCGATAAAGGATTTTAAATACATTCATGATAATAAATAAGGAAGATTACAATGATTCTGGCAAGAAATCAGTATTCTGGAAAAAGGTTTACAGGTTGGTCAAACATTCAGACGATGTATATGTATCTAGATCCATATAATAGGCAACTTTTTATAACTATATTTTTGATGCTTTAATACGTAATGAACCAAGCTGTAAACCAAGATTTTTAAATCACTTAACTTTATCGATGAAATTCATTAAATTTATTTTTTGTGAATAATATTTCAATATTATACAATTAAATATTTACGTCTACTATGTTAAAAATTGGTTTGAAAATTAAATTTATTACTCTATTTTATAAACGTTTAGAAATATTTTAATTGTCCTTGATTTTTCATAAAAAGGACATGCGGTCAATAAGTCATTCGTACTTTTATGTAAAAATTTTAATATTTTTGCAAACGGTTATGTATATGAAAGCGTTAATAAATTCGCTCAGTTTTCAGCACTTATAAAATAGTATGCAGCTCATGTATACACCAGTTTTTAATTAAGAAATTTTATATTCAGTTTATTTAATTTCCCTGATAAACAATTTTCGGTTATAACAATGATTATTTTTATTACCTGGTATATTTTTTTAATCCCTCACTTCTAACTTAAAGGGGCTATTTCGACAGCCATTTTAGTTTATTTGTCTTTTAAAATATTTTTTTTAAATATTAGATCTTACCGGGCCCAAACCTCAAATAATATAACAAAAAAATAATTAATATCACATTTTTTAGCTACTTCTTTCTTTTTAAATAATTCGATTTTTTTATAAACATTAAAAATAAATTCATTTTTGACTCATTTATTTATTATTGTTAGGAAATTAACAAAGTGTGTATAAATTGAAAAATATTATATATAATTATAAATATAATCATAAAATAATGATAATATTGGATCGGTTTTTTAATATATATAGCATAAGAGAAGAAGTAAATCACTGGCAGAATTGAAATACTGACATATATTTGCTGGAAATTTTATACAGAACTTTAAGATACTGAAAAACAGGGACAACTACTTGAGGGGGAGGGGAGGATATATAATTATAACAATGGTATCGTCATTTATAAAATTTGAGGAGATAGTTTTGGTGTAGATTTCTATTTTTTTTGCTCTTTGAATTTCGTATTTTGCTATTTTAATTGATAAGGGAGGCTAAAATTTGGAGAAGAGTAGGGAGTAAAATTTAAGTGAGAGTGGGGTAAGAGGATAAATTTTAAAATGGTAAGCAGTAAAATCTTTTGGGAAGGGTTGTAAATTACATTGATGATATATCATTTTTACATAAGGTTTAAATATTCATATATTATATATTTTTTGATAATAAAAATGATAAAAAATTTATTTTTAATATTTAAATATATCAATGATAAAACAATTGAAAAAAGAAGTTATATGGATTATTTGGCAAGGATGATGACCCCACGCGCCAAAAACCCATTATAACCCACATTGAGTGAACCCAAATATATTTTGACACATATTTTTACCCATAATTTTTAATCTATTTTAAAAAAATATTTATACATCGAAATGCCTATATAATATCAAGTAATAGCATTTTAAATTATTTTGGATATTCATAAACCTCACCTGGACTAGGGTTTGGTTTAACTAATCTCACATCGCGCGAAATAGAGTACCTATACCTAATAACTACTATGTTAGTAACTGCACCAAAGTCATCACGTAAAACTGGCGACGAAGAAATAGTTATATTTATGTCAGCAAAATATGCTAACGAATAAGGCCTAGGACCGAATCAGACCCTAATGCAATTTCTCCTATTTTTTTTCCTCTAACGCTCCGAAGTTGACTGACATCTCTAAGCTGAGATATCTTTATTCCTCCTACTTTTTCAGTTTATATGAATAAACGTCGTATAATCAATTTCACTCAAAAATATTGATATTAAATTGGAGTGACAAAACTGCCACTAAAAAAAACATCTTATATATCTGACGTCAAATGTTAAATCTTACTTTTTTTTCTAGCTCTTGTATATTTTAGATGCAAATGCTCTAAACAGTGTCAGTGTCATAAAAAAATAAATTGAATCTAACGAAATGTAAGAGAAGTATTGTTAAAAATGAAGGATATTAAAAAATAAATTTTTAAATTAAATTCTAAGATTTTGGGGTCAGTTCATGGATCAACACTGGCGGTAATTTGGATAGAAGAAACATAAGGCACACATTTGTGGGTACGCCTTGCTGGATGGCCCCGGAGGTTATGGAACAGGTTTGTTTTTTTATAGCTTAGATTACTTTATTTTGGGGTAAAATAAACCAGTTAATATTTAACCCTAGTTTCTTTTCCATATGAAATCAATCCATGCTGGTTATAAAATAGCGGGATAGTACTGGGAAAAATTGGGAAGATTTTAAATCTGGTAACGGCAGTGTCAAATGATGACTGCCAATTTTATCAATAATGAATTAGGCTTATAATTCTAATGGTTTTTTTTGATGGTTAGTAATATTTCGACGATCAAATGAAGAACCTATGCATATGATTCAGTTTATCGATAAAGAAAACTCAACAATTTTAGTTTCCGAGATATTTAGCGCTTTATTTCTAGGGTATGTCTACAAAGGAAACGCTTATATTTGGGGTGGGGCGTTTGGCATCCTATTTGTATTCCCATATATTATTTTTTTGTTAAAATTTGGCATGACATTTATATATTTTGAAGTTAATAATAGGTTAGTATTCAAAAAGGTTAAAATGAATTCCATAAACCCGAGTGTTTTATTATCATATTTTTATATATATAACGAGTACACACTATTATTGCCTTTTAAATAAAAATAAAATAATAATTGTCGAACATTAACAACAATACTCATCATATGCTGTATTTCATAATGACAACAAAACAATAAACAAATATTTATTATCTACACTAAAAAAATACAAACATCACAAAATTTCTGAGACCAGGAGCGATATCTGCGATTAAGGAAGTCCGATCTCAACAGCCAATTTACGCTGAGCCGATACCACGAACCCAGTTGGGAGATTTGACTGAGGAAGCGGTTTCATTATAGCCCGGTGTAGGATTGTGAATCAATACACAATTTTATTTAAAAAAAACAAAAAAAAATATTATAAAAAGAAAATATATTCCAAAAAAGTAAACATAATTATCACAAAAAATTGAGTTTATACTACATTATAATACGATTAAAATGATCTGAAGATGTATTTATTAAATATATATTTAAATTAAAATTTTAGTATGTAATGTATTTCATTCCATTTTTACAATATATAATGATTGGCGTTTGGAAAAATATGGCAGATGCTACTCAAATTCATCCGCCCACATTCCAAGTTGATGTTTTTGTATCAACTAAATGTTTGATTATGTCTTTCATCATGAAATCACTAAAAATGTCATTATGCATCATATAAGTGATAATAGATCCCCTTATAAATTGCATGATGATCCTCGTTGCCTGCGATCTCTTTTCTCAAGCAGCGATAATTACAATTTCCGTCACCAAGAACTGCCTCAAATTTAGGAGGATAACTTAAATTCTTAGTTTTACCATGGCTTTTTGTTCTTGATAACGAATGAGGGATGCTTAACCTCTGAGCATGATATTTCTTCCATGCATAATTCGTGGCAAGGTAGGGTAACGGGGAAATATCTATTTATATAATATTATTTTAATATCGGTAGAATTTTCTTTTTCTACTTCCCCGATATTAGATTTTTGGATGTAGGGCTTGAGTTACACTTGTTATACTTTCGCTTTAATAGAGTATTATCTTTATTACACACACTATAAAGATCGTTGTCATATACTTTATCAATTATATATGGACCAAGCCAGGGATCAGACATTTTTCCACCCTTTCGTCCGAACGTCGGGAGTTCCAGACCAGGACCTGTTGTCCGACTTCATTCCGAATTTTATTCTTTTGCCTTTTTTGATAATCTCTTTATTGTCTATCTTGGGCAACAAGTATATTTTCTTTAGCCTTTTCCCATACGACTGACATGCTCATTAGCATCCCTCGCCGTGGTAAAATTAAGAATTTAAGTTATCCACCTAAATTTGAGACAGTTCTTGGCGATGGAAATTGTTATTATCGCTTGAGCAATGAGATCACAGGCAACGAGGATCATCATGCAATTATAAGGGGATTTATTATCTCTTATATGATGCATTTGGAAAATAATGATATTTTTAGTGATTTTATGGGGAAAGGCACAATAAAACATTTGGTTGATACAAAAAACATCAACCGAATGAATTAGATATCGTACATCTCTCACTTTTTCCAAACGCCAACCATTATATATTGTAAAAATGGTAGTGAAATGAAATACATTACATACTCCACATTATCAAAAATGTATCATAAAAAATTTTAATTTAAATATATATTTAATAAATCCATCTTCAGATCATTTTAATCATATTATATATACTCACATTTTTGAAATAATTATGTTTTTTTGGGATATATTTTCTTTTCATAATATTTTTCTTGTTTTTTGAAATAATATTATGTTTATCCTTTTATTGATTGAGTGAGAAATCTATAAAATTTTGTGATGGTTATTTTATAAAATTTTGTGATGTGCTCTATAAGTGTTTATACAAAATTTTATAAATTATATAATAAATTCAAATAAATTAAATGTACCTTATGGATTGAATGAGAAATCTATAAAATTATGTGATGTGCTAAATAATTGCCGATTCATCTATAAATGTCGATTCACAGATTTGTAAATTGTATTTTAAAATTTATTCTTTAAAGTTGAGGTTCGATCATATTATCAATATGGTATTGATTTTACAATATTGTAGAATCAACACCATATTGATTTTAGATGGTATTGATTTTACAATACTACACCTATTGATTTTACAATACTACACCTGGATAGAGATAGGCCACGCGATTTGTATTTGTAATTGATATAATGGAAGAAGCCATTTTATTGATTTTTTTGGCACAAAATAGGAAATAATACTCATTATTATATATAGCACCTTGTTTTTGTTCATAGCAGCGCCATTATTATTTAAATATGCTTCGCATGGCTTAATGGAGAGGAATACATATGATGTTTGTATTTTAGTCTAGATAATAATATTATTTCTCATTGTTTATGGTCATTTATGAATATTACATATATTATGAGTATATATTGTTGTTATTGATGTTTGGCAATTTTCAATAATGTTGTGTACTCAATATTTAGAGAAAGAAATATGATGTAAAATAAAAAATACTGGAACTCCCATCATCGAAATTATTTTGTTTATATTTTATTTTGATATATACGCACATGTCTAGGTCAGTGGTTACAACGCTAAGGCGGATATATGGAGTTTCGGGATAACGGCTATCGAATTAGCCACCGGAACTGCTCCATATTACAAATATCCTCCTATGAAAGTATTTAATTCTTATAATTTTATTTAGCCGATGCTCTAACTTTGGTTGTTTTTTGTTTTTACTCATAATGTATTTAGATTTAATTGTTTAAATCAATTCTCCATTTTTTCTACCAGATATACTTTTTAGGTATGAAAATAACTTAACTTTTGGAAAGCTTAATCACTAAACTTCAATTTATTTGATCAATTAGGCCTTGTTTTATAGTGATCGCGATTATCGCTGTATCGACGCATAATTCATTGCTAAACCACAGCATAGTTGTATTATTTAATATTATGTATTTTGTAATTTATCCGCATATCGCCTGAGCGACATCGCGGTATTTTGCGCTTATTATAAGTGAGGCCTTATAATTAATATATATTCTACCACTTCAAATAAGGCGGTTAATTTACACTTTTGATTCTATAAGTAAGAAGAAAAACAAAATAAAAAAGAAATTAGGTGTGGATAGTAGCCCTATAATAAAGATTAGGAATTATCATAGTTTTTTTTTAATCAAATGACCAAAAGTACCTTTATTAGAGGACTAAAATGATTTGGACATATTTTATACAAAATAGACTGGTATTATATTCGCGTGTCAAAATATATTTCTCTTTCATTATTTAATCCCAATATATACGAGGTATTGATGTTAACTCTTTCCAACGACCCTCCTAACCTCGAAACGGCTGCCGATGATAAGGATCAATACAAAAATTACAGCAAAGTGTTCAGGAAAATGGTTGCGGATTGTTTGCAAAAGGACCCAGAAAAAAGGTTGAGCGATTTTAGAATAACACTAAGAACCCCGCGAAGGTGTAAACCCATTTACAGGTCCAGAGTGGGCTTTGTATTTTACGGCTCAATCCAGTTCTCGGACCGATCCTGCTAATCTCTAATTTTAAACATTTTTTTTAATTTATACCAAGTTTACTACCATTCTTGTCGGTTCATTTATTTCTTAACTAGTCCTATTTCCGCGATCTCATTCTGGCGTTTTGTTATGAGTCTTCTAATGTATAAGTGCCATTGGCGTCGACAAGGGGAGGAGTATGGGGTTGCCCCACCCCTATTACTTTGAATAATATGGATAGGTAAAAATTTGTATTTTCATAATACTTTTATATTGATATATTAGACGAAAATTTGGTTTCATTTCTTTCAAAAATTGATAAAAAAAATTGCCCATTATGCAATAATCTCTGAAAAGACTTTTTTTTCTATTGAATAAGGTGGGGTGAAACTCTATGACTTTAATTTTTTTAATCAAATTTTCCATAAAAAATATTGTTACAAATTATATTGCAAAAAAATTGAAAAAACAGGATCAAAGACGTTTATAATATGTATGAAATCTACGTTTGACCTTTTTAATTCCCATTTATAAAAGACGCACCCATAGTATTAGTTTTCTAAACAATCGCTCAACATAAGCGCTTGGGGGTAAAAAAAAATTCATCTATTGTAATCCTTTTAAATTTCACCATAACCTATCCATACTTTATTTTGTTTTCACATTTTCCAAAGTTTTCTCAAGTTTATTTAACTTTTTTTTACACTACCAATGCTAAATTATAAATGTATCAATGCTGCTGCCTGACATCAAGTCCCATTTTAAAATACGATAAAAAGAAGGTTTATTTCATTACCTTAATTTTTTTAACTTGCCCGTCACCAGGTCAATGTTGCAAATATTTTAGAAAACCCGACGACAAAAATATAACAATTATAGGTTCAAATTTATTTTGATGTTAGTTTTTCCTCGTTGTGTTAAATAATAAAATTTGATAAATGATTTTTATAATAAAATAATTAAAGTAAAACGCATAAGTTCCTAATATATACGGTTGTCTAAACTTTTAAAACAAGTACCTTTACTCAGTATAGAACGTCTTAACATGAGATTCTTATTCTTATCATTGGAAATATAACTCGGTTCAAAATATAATTCGATTTTATATATTTTATTTTTATATCCATTAAATAAACCTAAAAGAGCAAATGGTGTCTTCTATAAAGTAATAGAATCATAAAAAAATTTTAAAAATTGGGACTCTTCGTTTTATTTAAAAAATAACGCGATCTTGAAGAATCGAGTATATATATTGAAATTCTCCCCGCATTTATTTACCTAATATTTTTAACAGCAACAGGTTATCATCAGTATTTTTTGGCCTTGGATTAATCCCTTCCACCAAATCTTTCCAGTGAGTTTTAGTTACTCTTTATAGGTTGGAGGATTATGATTAGTGATTACTTTTGTGAATGCCGCTAGGTGTTTATACAAACGTGTCGTCAACATTTAAATTATATGGATTAATCTTTCTTCCGTTTTTACATTCCATAAAAAAAATCTTAAGACCAACTGCTACCGAACTGTTGAAACATCCTTTTTTCAAAAAAGCTAAAGACAAAAAGTACATCTACCAGACCCTAATCTGCGACAGGCATTGCTCAAGACCACCACCTCAAGTCGTTGTCAAAGTACGTTTTCTTTCCTTCCTTCTTTCTTTCTTTGATGATAGTTATTGGTTTATTTTTCTAATCAAATATTTATGCTTTAAAATCGTTAAACAGACAAGGATATTTCCTAATAATTAATTGGCTAAAATAATTTCTATAATTCGCGTACATTAAAATTATACCTTGAATCTCTTAATTGGGGGGAAAAAATTCCGAATGAATTTATTCCCCTTCACTCTTTGTCTCTCGTAAACTTTAAAAAGAAGTCGACACCATCTCTAACCTACGGCCGACTCCACCGCACCGAAACTGGCGAGTGGGAATGGTCCGGGGAGGACGATAACAACGACACCGAGCAGTCCAAATCTATGTTAACCACTCCTAAATCTATTCCTAAAGCTGCCCAAGTTAAATATATTTATATTTTCTTAAAATCTATAAAAGAGAGGGGTGTGAGGGGGATTTAAAATCAACGTCATGAATTGATATTTTTCGTTGGTAATTTTGATGTAGTTAGATTTTTTTACGACACGTCAATTATAAAATTATTTTTAGATGATATATCAATTTAAAAATAATTTTATTTCGACCTTTAGCGGGTGTTGTGAGTTGGTTCTTTTTTTATTATTCATTTTACGCGAATAATTTTGGTTTGTAACAATGGCCGGAATTCGATTTTTGATTATACCTGAATAATTTTCTTTAGTAAATATTCAAAACTTTTTTAAGGTTTTATTTTCTAAGACAAAATGTAATAATAATATTGGGTTTTTTAAGTTTTATTTTCTAAGACAAAAAAATGAAATAATCTCAATTTTAGGCAAATTATAGCTTTTTATAGGGTGAATGCAAATAAATAAAAATAATACAATAATAATCAAAATAATATTGATACATAATTCTTCAAAATAATATAACGGCCATAATCAATGAAATCAAAAATAAAATTCCCGCGCCTTTGTCACAAAATAAAATTATTGCACATAAAAAAAGAATAAAAAAAAGAACCAACTCACGACATCTCCACCCTTCCCAAGCTCCTTGATGGGGGGGCGCCGCGCCATAAGACTCGAATAGCTCCTCAAGTTCCTGGGCATCCACTCCCAGGTCCAGGAAATCATTATGAGCCATCACCTGTCTCCCCGGAGCCCCCATCCCTTGTTCTCTTCGTGGCTCTGCTCCCTATACCTCCAATACCTCCACGATGCCTTACCCCCCCCCCCCCAAGTGGGATTGACACTGAGGATAGCTGAGAATATAGTTGGCACCAGGAATGAAGGGCAAGATATCATGGAGGTTCCGGAAGCCTAGCTACGAAGACATCAAGGGATGGAGGCTCCGGTGGCTTATGATGAATTCCTGGACCTTGGAGTGAATGTCCAGAAACTAGAGGAGCTATTTCGGCCTTATTGTGTGGTGATCCCCTCCCCCATCAAAGAGCTTGAGGATGGTGGAGATGTCGTAAGTTGTTTTTTTTTACACCAATAATTTTGTTTTGTAACAATGACGCGGAAATTTGATTTTTGATTATAAGACTTTACCATATAAAAGCCTGAAATTATTAATTTCATTTTTATTTTGAAAATAAAACTTAAAAAAAACTATTATTATTACATTTTGTCTTAGAAAATAAAACTTAAAAAAAACTATTATTATTACATTTTGTCTTAGAAAATAAAACTTAAATAAAGTATAGAATATTTACTAAAAATAAAGATAATTATTAAATTTGTTGTAAATTTAATTAATAAACCGCACATTGTAAAAGGTGAAACCGAGAAATGATTTTATTTTAAAAATAGGATATGATAATGCGTGTTTCTCCAGAATTCTTGAAAAACTATTATTTATCTATAAATCGATCATTCAAATTTACTTTTAAACTATTCGAATCGAATAAATATTTTAGTATGAACAATTTTTTTAAAAAAAATGGTCATCTCTATTTTATTGCAAAAGGAAGTATTAATAATTATTTATGCCATTTTTTAAAAAATAAAAATGATAGAAATAAAATAAATTTAAAAATCAACAAATTTATATATACATTATTTTTTTACATATTCATTTTTTAAAATTAAGCGAGAAATAGATGATAAGCAAGCCACTATATCATCTTCTGGGTCTTCTCGTCCCTTTGTCCAATCGGATGATCGAGAAGATTACGATAGCGGTGAAGGACTCTCGGAAGGAGGGCAAGAAACCAGAAAGTCCAACGTAGCCGAGGCCAGACGGGGAAACGAGGTAAATAGAACGAAACAGACACTAATTTAAAGTTTTATGAAGAAAAGGGAAAAATAATTTTTTTTAAAAAAATGTTTTTTTGTTACAGTCAATCCGAGCTCAATTTTTCAAAACTCCTTCTTCACCGCCGACCTCCTCTATCAATTCGGACGGTTCCTCGTTGCCTACTAATAACAGTAGTGATAGAGGCGGCTGCCACGTAGCCTTCCAAGAACAGCAACAACTCACACTATACCTAGCCCTACGTATAAGGTTTTTTTTAAAAAAATTGGATTCTTCACATATCAGAGCTTAAGTATCAGAATCTGGAACCTTGGGAACCGCTTCAAATCTGATAACTAGACACCTCATTTCCCGCTAGAGGGCCCAAACTCATTTTACCTTTCCCATGGTTAGTAAAAATATTTTGGACCACGTCGACTTGAAAGCTCTCAGGCAGGTCTTCTTATTTGGGAGAATCCGTGATGTGCATCTCTACCTTATATAAATTCTTTCATATATTTTTTTAGCAATTGTTTTCTTTTTCATTATTATTACATTTATTTATTTTTTTACTTATAAGAAATTCCAAAAAAGAACTCAACGATATCAAATTCGATTTCACACCTTGTTCAGGTTTACTATTTTTTTTGTTATTCAAAACTTGTTTAATATAACCGGAAGGACACAAGATTTTAAATGATGCTTTAATTTAGGTGGTAGATATGCTTAAGATTTTGAATGATATCCTTTGTTTTCTTTCTCTTGGATATACTCCTTTTTTTAAAAAAATAGATCAAAATTGAAATTATATTTTTGAAAATTTTTCAACTCCATATTTTTGGCCAATAATATAAAATATTTGACTTTTTCGGTAGTACCCCGATTTTACGAATCTAATCAATATTATCCACCAATATCGATTCGGGTTATTCGTTTTCGATTAATTATTATTCGATTCGTTCATGCTAACATTAATTTGAACGAATAATTTTCACTAACGAACCAACCCTGCAAGACTTTTAAACCGGAATTGAAATACGTCCGTTGCTATCAATCATTTATACCAATACTCCTGTAATATTTTGGCGTACCAGCTGTCTTACCAATATTAGTGCCAAGTTTCTAATATTCACAGAATGTCCTCTCTATTAGGGTATCAAAAAAATGTCTCTAATTGAAAAAAAAACTTAAAAACATGCAACTACTTGTAATATATAGAAAGGGCAAAGATGAACTATTACTGATTTTTTATATTAGAAAAAAACAGATATGAAATTGTATCGAAAAAACGAATAAGTGAGTTTATATACAAATTTATGTTAATTTTTAATCTACTTAGTTACTAAAATTAATTTATTCTCACCAGAAACACCCTATGTTTGTTTTTTTAAGTATGATATATTCTTTATTAGTTAATTAAGCTAGTCAATATCATAAAAATTTAAAGCATGGCAAAAATTAAATTTAATATAATTTTCATAAAAACATAATGTAAAGGTAATGTTAAAAATAACAAACTAACTTTGAAAAGATTTTATTTGAAAAATTAGCATTTATATTATTATTTTTAGATTTTTTTTTACTAATCGCAAAAAAAATCAAATTATTCAAATTCGTTAGGAGCACTATATTACAGCAAAGTCAATACGAGTATAATCCTACTATCCGTAGGCCACTTGACCGCAGAATGGGGGGGGGGGGGTACTAGAGGTCTGCAATGGGCGGGTTTTAGTCCGCACACTCACGTTCGCTCATACTTCGACGGGCATGGTCTGTTTTCTAAAATATTTTTAACATTAAGCCGGTGACGGGCGGGTTAAAAAAATAAAATATTTTTAAAGTAATGGGCGAGTGTGGGCGCATGAATTTTTAATATTTATCAGGCAAAATGGGTAGAACAGACTACAATTTATTAAAAATAATAGTTTTATTTCATAATATTGCATATTATATATATCTAATAAGAAATACATTAAAATAAATTTTAAAAAATCCAAACCAGCCATTAAAATAATTTTTAAACATTAGGCTGGCGCGCTGGCTAAAAAAAATTAATTCAAAGCAACGAGCGAGCTATTTGGCTAAACCCCCTTTGCAGACTTTTAGGAGGTACCGTCAGAGCGCATAGTGTTATCAGGTAGGCTACTGGCTAGAGAATTGGCGAAAATATTAACATAGCGCCAGGCGCGTACACAGGAATTTGCTTTGGGGGGGGGGGGATAATTAAAAATTTTTTAAATAAATTTTTGTTATTTAAAATTATGTAAATTTATTAGGACTAATAACTATTTCTAATACACAATTTTAAATTAATGTGAATTATAAAAATTAAATATATAAACCGGCATATGAAAAACTTTAAAATATATAAACCGGTACATAAAAAACTTTAAAATATAAAAACCACCGGCATATAAAAAACTTTAAAATATATAAATAGGCATATAAAAAACTTTAAAATATATAAACCGGCATATAAAAAACTTTAAAATAAATGTGAATTAAAAAAATATTAAACGGATATAATTGGCGGCATATGAATAACTATAAAATAAATGTAGAAATTTTTTGTGCCTTTAAAATTTATATATAAAGTATAAAAAATATAAATGTTGTAAATATAAATAAGTTTATTAGGTATTATTGTATTTTGTGAATGAACTATTTTTAATTCATAGGGCAGCACTTAACAACTGCTCCCAACCTTTTTTGGATCCCAAAAAAATGCTATGGATGCTTTGCATCAATTCGAACATATTTTAAATTAAAATTATAAAATTGCAAAAAAATATTAAAAGCATATAATATATTTATAAGGTAAAATCCAATCTTCGTTGGGATAGAGCTATTTTTTCAATTATCTCATCCGTGTTTGGCGTCAAATGCCTATGAATATTTAATAGGGCCAAACCATTCAATCTACTTTCAGAAGTTGTACTTCTTAGGTAGGTTTTTATTCTTCTCAAAGAAGAGAATGTTCTCTCATTAGTTGCAGTACTAATGGGAATAGTTGCTAATATGTATAATAATTTTAATATATTAGGAAAATAATCTAAAATATGTTTGAATTGATGCAAAGCATCCATAGCATTTTTTGGGACTATACCAACCATAGTTAATCTTTTATACCATAGTTGGCATTCAGCTAATAACATAAGATACTTGAACATCTTCATGATAAAAATCTGCTAAATATTTTATTTTATTTCTATCACCATCTGAAAAAGGTTGGGAAGGTTTTTGTGGTAATAATATCTGCAGATTGCTAAATGCTGCCCTATGAATTAAAAACCGTTCATTTATATGTGTTATAAATGTATCTAAAAGAGGGATAAATAGATTTATTTTATAATATTCTTCTATTGACCCTATATTAATGTTTGGGCGATGAGCTTGCCTTGCCGCAAGTCGTGGGAGACAAATATTAAACTCATATTGTTGTGCTTTTGACTCAACAATAACATATAAAATATGAAATTCTTCATCAACATTAGCTCTAATTTCTTTGAGTTCTAATAAAATTATCTCTGCTATTCTCATCATCTCAATCAAATCAATATCAGGTTTTTGAAAAGTATTACATAAAATAGTTGTAAAATTAAATAATTTATTAATACATTCTAATGCGAAAAAAAAATTTGGTATAAGTATTCAATCCAGTAACTTGCTTGCTTCTGTAGAAATGTCTCTCTCAGACCATTGTGAGATTTCGGTAAGAGCATTAATAATTGGCTCTTCTAACTCCATAAAAGAAGTCACAGCTTGATGGCGAAGGCTCCATCTTGTAGGACAAGCTTTTTGTAATTTTTTCCTCCTTGTTGGACAAGGAGTTTCAGAAATAATTCTGCTCAATATATTTTGTCACTTGGGATATCTAAACATCTCATAGATGCTAGATATTTTTCCTGATATAAATATAAGAAATTTAATTGAAATAAATAAAATTATACCTAAGCATTTCGATATCAATGGCAAAGAACATGCATCAGATATAGCCAGGTTGAGGGAATGAGCAGCACAATGAACATATATGGCTGTTGGGCATTTTTTTTTTATAAATGCCTGAAGCCCATTGAATTGCCCACTCATTGCACGAGCTCCATCATACCCTTGCCCACGTATCAAATTTATATTAAGCTATATTTTTGAAAAAAATAATTTTATAATGTGATTAATTATTACTTTGAATTTTTCAAGATTGTTAAATATTACATCAGCTAAGGCAGACCCAGTCATGCTTGAAACTGGGATAAATTGAAGAAACATCTCTTTTATAATGTTATTTTGAGTGTCTATATATCGTGCGCAAAGTGACATCTGCTCAATGCCAGCAATGTCTGTGGTCTCATCTGCCAAAATTGAGAAGCATGGGGCAGAATTGATTTCAGTAATCAATTTTTCTAGAATGATATTATTGCAAACATCAATTATTTCATTTTGGATCCTAGGACTAAGATATGTAGCATTTTTATTACTACTATTAATGCTCTCCATTAATGCAGAATCTCCTAATGCTTTAAATTTTATAAGGCCACGAAAATTACCTTCGTTATCATTATTATTGAAATTCAGGCTTCCTGAATCTAAATGGCCACGTAATGCTAATCCCTGCAACCCACAATATAGAATAGCCTCAATAGTTAGTCTTATCTTGCATCTATTTTCTTTTACAATAGTAATCCTACTTTTATCAATATGTGATGATATGGGAATCATATCCCCACTTTGAATTGATTCTTTTGAGGAAATCATCAGTTCACAACTTTTGTGATAATTTGTTTTTTGATGATTATCAAAAATTTCTCCACCATCTTTGTATTTGTTAAATGGAGTCTTAACAAGGCTATTAAGCTTAACCAAATTTCTTCCAGCATATCTTGGACCAAACAGGACACATATCTTACAATAAGCTCCATTGTCACGGATAGAGTATGCTAGCCATAACCATCTAGTAAAATAGCTGTTTTGAAATTTTAACTTTCTATTAGCACATACAGTTTGTGGATATTGAAAATTGAGGGGTGGAATATAAATCTATTATTAAATTAAATAAATTATTTATCATAGGTATCTTATCTTTATTACCTTTTTAAGAAGTAAATGTCTTTCTTCTAGGCTAATATTATCTTTATCCAAATAATTGGCTATATCATATGGATGATCATTGTACTCTAGTTATGAGTACATTGGCGTACGCAGCGGGGGGGGGGCAAATCCCCCCAAAGCCAAAATGCAGATGCCGGACATATTTTTCAAAAATATTATTTTTTATATTTTATTATAATTATTCATATCTATTTTTTTTTAAATTTTTATATTATTACCTTTTTCATTTACTAATTTACTTTATCAATTAATTTCATTTTCAAGTTTTCCTTGTGGCGTAATATTTATCTATTATTTTTAAATTTCCTGGTATTATAATTTTCTAATTTCTAGTCATGGATATTAGACTTTTTTTAAAAAACGCTGAAGGTGAAAATCATGCCAAAAAGCAAAAAAGTATAGTATGATAATTTAATAAACAAAAGCTGTGAACTGATGATTTCCTCAGAAGAATCAATTCAAAAGGGGGATATGATTCCCATTTCATCAATAATTGATAAAAATAGGGTTAAAATTGCAAAAGAAAATAGAGGCAAGATAAAATTAACTATTGAGGCTATTTTATATTGTGGCTTGCAAGGCCTAGCACTTCGGCCACAAGGATCCAGGAAGCTTATATTTTAATAATAATGATAACGAAGGTAATTTCCGTGGACTTTTAAAATTTAAAGCATTAGGAGACCTGTAATGGAGAGCCTCATTAGTACCAATAAAAATGCTACTTATCTCAGCCCTAGGATATAAAATGAGATAATTGATATTTGCAACAATATCATTTTAGAAAAATTGATTGTTGAAATCAATTCTGCCCCATGCTTCTCAATTTTGGCAGATGAGACCACCAACATTGCTGGCATTGAGCAGATGTCGTTGTGTGCGCGATATGTAGATACTCATAAAAACATTATCAAGGAAATGTTTCTCCAATTTATTCCTGTTTCAAGCATGACTGGGTCTGCTTTAGCTGATGTAATATTTGTGAATCTTAAAAAATTAAAAGTAATAATTAATCTTATTATATAATTATTTAAGAAAATATAGCTAAATATAAATATGATACGTGGGCAAGGGTATGATGGAGCACGTGCAATGAGTGGACAATTCAATGGGCTTCAGGCATTTATTAAAAAAAAATGCCCAACAGCTATATATGTCCACTGTGCTGCCCATTCACTCAACTTAGCAATATCGGATTCATGTTCTTTACCATTGATATCAAATTGCTTAGGTTTTTAATTATTAAATTAAATTTTTTATATTTATATCAGGTAAAATATCTATCATCTATGAGATGTTTAGATACCCCAAGCGTCAAAATATTTTGAACAGAATTATATCTGAAACTCCTTGCCCAACAAGGAGAAAAAAATTACAAAAAGCTTGTCCAACATGGAGTCTTCGACATCAAGCAGTAACAGCTTTTATCGAGTTAGAAGAGCCGATTATTAATGCTCTTATAGAAATATCACAATGTCTGAAAAAGATATTTCTTCAGAAGCAAGCAAGTTACTGGATTCAATACTTATACCAAATTTTTTTTTCGCATTAGAATGTATTAATAAATTATTTAATTATACAACTTATGTAATACTTTTCAAAAACCTGATATTGATTTGATTGAGATGATGAGAATAGCAGAGACAATTTTATTAGGACTCAAAGAAAATAGAGCTAATGCTGATGAGGAATTTCATATTTTATATGTTAATGTTGAATCAAAAGCAGAGCTATAAGAGTTCAATATTTGTCTCCCTCGACTTACAGTAAGGCAAACTTATCGTCCAAATATTAATATAGGGTCAATAGAAGAATATTAAAAATAAATGTCTTTATACCTCTTTTGGATACATTTATAACCCAAGTAAATGAAATTTTTTTAATATATCAAGAAACACTTATCAATCTGCAGATATTACTTCCGCAAAAGCCCTCTGAACCTTTTTCAGATGGTGATAGAAAAAAATTAAAATATTTGGAAGATTTTTATCATGAAGACATTAATGTATCATGATGCTTTATTAGCTGAATGCCAACTATGGTATAAAAGATTAACTATGGTTGATATAGTCCTAAAAAATGCTATGATGCTTTGCATCATTTCAAACATCTTTTAGATTATTTTCCCAATATATTGAAATTATTATATATATTAGCAACTCTTCCCATTAGTACTGCAACTAATGAGAGAACATTCTCTTCTTTAAGAAGATTAAAAACGTACCTAAGAAGTACAACTTCTGAAAGTAGGTTGAGTGGTCTGGCCCTTTTGAATATTCATAGGCATTTGACGCCAAACACTGATGAGATAATTGAAAAATTAGCTCCCTCCCAACGAAGATTGGATTTTACATTATAAAAATATAATGTTTCTATAATATTTTTTGTGCTATCATATTTTAATGTCTTATATATTTTTCTTTTACATAAAAAATATAATTATTCATATTTCCAACATTTAGATTTTTTATACTTTATATATAAATTTTAAAAGCTTAAAAAAATTTAAATTTCTATTATGGATTATTTATTTTATAGTCATCATATCCTGGTTATATCCACTTAATATTTTATAATTCAGATTTATTTAAAGTATTTATATGCCGCCGGTTATATTCGTTTAATATTTTTTAAATCAAATTTATTTTTATATATCGGTTTATATATTTAATTTTTTATTATTTATATTAATTTAAATTTGTATATTAGAAATAGTTATTAGTCCTAATAAATTTATGCTTGATATTTTTAAATAACAATAATTTTATTTTAAAAAATTTTAATTATCCCCCCCCCCCCACATCAAATTCCTGCGTACGCTACTGTATGAGTATAATTCATTAAAATTATTTTTAAAAAGCCAAAATCTTTATTTAGAATAACCTTTTGATGGCTTTGGCTCTATATCCTGACTCTCAATTATTCTTCCAACAATTATTTCATTATTTGTATTTATTATGGCAGGGGTTTTAATTACTAAAAGTAAATAATAAAAATATGTTATAAAATTATTCATACCTTTTTGCTTTTTTATAAGATGAAGATGACTAGAATTTTTATCATCATTCGTGTTTTTAAAAAAATTTCTTATGTCCATAATTATTATTTGACTAGAAAAAAATGGTAGATAAATATTTTGCCGGTAAAAATTTGAAAATAGGAGATAAATATTACCAAGGAAAACTTGAAATTGAAATTAATTGATAAAATAACTTCGTAAATGATTGTGATAAATAAATGTAATTAAATATATATTTGAACGAAAGATATATGAATAAAGATAATAAAAATAATATTAATATATAGACAATAATTTTTTTGAAAAATATATCCGGCAGCATTTTTTGGCTTTGGGGGGGGGGGGGGATTTGTCTTCCTGCCCCCCCCCCGCTGCGTACGCCAATGTATAGCGCGAACTAATATAGAAAAAGATTCAGTAATATAAATGCCTCAACTGGTCAAAAAATTTTGTTCATTATAGGATATATTGAAATAATAATAGAAAACTATATTATTTTTAATCTTGATCCTTCCGAACTCTTATATATTTTTTATAAATCGATCCTTTAAATATTTTATTATTTTTATTTTTACACAAGATACCGACGAAGGAGTCGCCCAAGAATTATTAGGTGCCGGTTTAATAGAAGAGGCGGACGTTGAAACAGTAGCCGAAAATTTGAGCAAAGTTACACGTACCCCTTATCAAGAAGGTGCTTCTTTAGTATTTTCCTTGGTGAGTCATCGTTTTTTCTTAAATGAAAGAATGATAAGAAAAAATTTACTTTTATGTTTCATGTAACAATCATTTTTATTATTCATTCCTCTCCCGCTCCGCAGAATAGTGCTATCACAGAATCCCCGGATAAAAAATCTTTGATAGGGTTCGCCCAGCTGACACTTATAAGTGTCTCATCCGCCGGTGAACGAGAAAAGATTATCCCTTTGGAACGATTGAACGAGGTTGAAACAGACGAGTCAAATCACCACCACCATTACAGAAATCGTTACTTGGCAAGTAATTCTATAGAAACTCGGAGCGAGAGCTCCGGGCCCGACGTGAAGCTCGAAAATTACGCTGGCGATAATCGCGCGTGATTTATAAGTGGGCAATCATTGCGATGGGGAAAATATACGTGTTCGAATACCATTAAACGGAACTAACCAAAGATGGCGTTAAACTACTATATATTTTTTTTTATAAACGACACTACAAAAATTGGTAATAAAATCGTTCATGCGTAAATCGGCTCCTCTTGGAAAATGGGAATTTTTTTTTTAAATTTATTATATTTTTTTATAAATCATCCAATAACTAATCTATTTGTAATAATTTTTTTTTTATAAAATATATTTATTATTATATACAATTTCATTTTTCTTTGTGTGATAAAGTTCAATTAGATAAATAATAATTAACACATATATTGTATACTTTATATTGTATTTTTTTTTAAAAAAAAATAATTAATCCCAGTTATTCATTATTATCTTTTTATAATCTTAAAACTAATTATTTTTACAACAAAAAATACAAACACAAAAACTATGGGTAAATGTTTTTTTTACTGTCCAAGAACCCCACCTTTGGTTAGAGAGAAAATTGCAATTGAAGGAGAGTTTTTTTAAAATTGGATAGAAATATAATTAAAATTAAACCGATATCCGAACTATAGAGGTAGGATATAAAGGTTTGAAAGATATGGGATTTAATGTCAAATAAAGGTTTGAGAGAGATGAGTTACGGTTAAGATATATTAGAAAAATAGGGGTGTACCGTTATTTTTTATCGAATCAGACCGGGCCGATATTTCATCATTTTAAAATATCGGTTATCGACCGTTATTATAAAAATTTTCCGATCGTATAAAATGGGTTCATAATTTTTTCAAAAATTTATTTTAAATTTCATAAACATTTGTTTATTACTTATTATGTAAATAGATTAATGTTAATATATAAATAAGTGATTTATCAATAAAAATTTTTATATACTTTTATATTCATGAATATAAACTATAACCGATATTATAATATATTTAAATAATTTATGTTATGGTATAGTTAAATTATAGATGTTATACTATTAAAGAGTATATGTGATGAGTAGATTATGTAGTGATGCAAAATCATTCCATTTGAGCCTTTTAAACCCGGCTTAATCAATATTTAGCCAGAAATGAAACCTTTGTTTCACTTATGAGCAAAATCTTCAGGCTTGCGTAATATTTTTATGGATAAAATACTGAGTTAACCCTTTTTAAAAACTCAAATGGAGCTATTTTGCAACATTAGATGTATGCATTAAAAATTAATACGAGTAGTATATTTGTAAAATAAAAAAATCAGATATGATATTGGATCGGTAATCGGTCGATGTCTATTTAATATAGAATTGGCCTCCAAAAAGTGATTCGGTACACCCCTTGTTTTTAATAAAAAATATCAAATGATTTTATATTAATAACCTAAAATCTGGCAGGCCATGTAATTATAAATTTAAATAATGCAGCTGTTGTGACGACAATTTACTTAAGTTGAACCATAAATCCCTTACAGTTATGATGATAGATGATGTTCACTGCTAGAGAACCACAATCAAGGATACGAAACGAACAGAGGGGTTTTTTAAAAAAATAATATCCGTATGAATCTCTAAAAACCGATTTGAAATGATATGTGCAAAAATCCCCCCTCTCAAAACAAATTTTTTAGGCTTCCAAGCATTGCCTCCAAATTTTTTAGGACCCCAGAACAAATGAACTACAAAAATACTTCCGGCCTCAAAATTAAAACAAAATTTAATTATTAAATATTCAATCCCTAAACCATTAAATCTAAATAAAAAATAATGATTGTTAGAAAGATATGGCTGATAAAACATTTCAAAGTTAAAAATAGTGTTATAAAAAATGATACAGAAATATGTACACTTTTGATGAACCATCAAGTGACCATAATCGATATTTGATTTTTCTTTTTTCGTGGTTCCACTATAATAACAGATGATGAAGATTAAATAATTATTCTTCAGGACTTTTTATTGCAATATTTTCATATATACCTGCCAAAAAAGATAAAAAATTATAAAATCGATACCAAAAAATATTCAATACACATCACCTCAAATTCAAAATGAAGCTGGAATCTATATCAAATTATAAAAAGTGAGATGCCGTTTTTCGTCTTGGCTAATGAGGCAAAAGATCCAGCAGGTTGTGAAAATTTCAGTTTGATTATCCGGTATATAATTGTGAAAATATCCAAGAGAATTTAATAGTAATGATTGATTTAGAAAGTCTATAAGCATTACAAATTGTATTTTAAAACAATATTGATTTAAAGACTAATTCATCTAATATAATAAGCCAGGCGTATGATTCAGCAAAAAATTAATAAAAAGGTGTATATTGTTCAATTACAATTGCATTTTGTTAATAATAGGTATAACATAATTTCTGTTATTTTTACAATTTAGCAAACGAATTGTATATTTTCTTTAGGCGTTTAAAAGTATCTTGTAAATATACAAGCCATGCTCTTAAAAAACTTTTAGACAAGGGGTAGATGGACTGGTCATTTGGCAACATCTCATATCATTTATAAAATTTTTATACTATTTGTGAATATTTTACTTTTCTAATAGAACTCTTAACTACAAAGTTTTCACTCATTATTTAGGCGTAGCCACTGTTCTTTTTTCTCGGTGCATAAATATAAATTATATTGGCTGTTGTAATTTATGAAATATTATTAACAAATGATTCATTAAATAAGCATCTTCAAATTAATCATTAAAAGAGGTGAAAATTCATTCTACCTGATAAAGATTGAGGCTGAATATCTTTATATCAAAATTCGATCTGATCCCCGAATTTTTATGTATGGTTGCTCCCAAATTAAAATTTGATTGTGAAAAGGACTCCATTTAAAGTTTTTTAAAAGGAAATTACTATGGAATGATTATTTTGTTGTACTTTTTTAAAAATATTTGCTGACGATGATTATTTCATAACCTTATATTTTGTTTTAATACATTGTCCCCCCTGGACCCAGATTATTTAATTGTAGATAAAATGGCTCCAATCATTTCTTATTAAACCTTAATATTCAAATATAGCATCATGAAATAAAAATCACAAAGGAAATATTAGCGACTGATTTAGCAGAAACATATGATTTTTAAATTATTATGTATTAAAAAGTATATATTGCATTATAAAGAATTACATATATGTTAACAGTTATTATCCATGGGGGCATCAATGGCTTCTTGTGAGTTATCGTTCTTTACACTCAAGAGGGTTTCACCATTTTTTATTTATCTTAAATATAGTTTAGAAAGAAAGAGTCTGGCAAATTTTTATCTATAAAGAGAAAGAATAAAATTTTATAGCTGAGAACATAAGCATAACTTGGGTGGCTAGCACCTTCAATCATAATATCTAATAATTAAATTTATATAAAACAGTTGAAATATTCAAATCAAATAATTTAAAAAAATTCATTATTTGTTTTTGTACCAAATAATCGTAAGAATCGAATAATTTGTTATTCGTATTATGAATACCGAATAATTTGATTATTTTTCTCTAAAAAAACTAATACTTTTATATTTTGGTACACAATTTTTTGTTTGCCGACTTAATTTTTGATACTTATTTGCTTTTTAATATAGGCTAAAAAAAATTTGATTAGGACACCCTTAGATTTAGATGTTATTTTTTAAAGTATTTGTTTTTTTTCTTCCTTTTTTAATATTTTTGCTTTTTAGACTATTTAGCAGATACTAAGTAGCAGGTTATTCAGTAGCATCACTAGGCAGGGAAGAGGGAGCAGGGGCTCGAGCCCCCTGAAAATTTTGAAGAGCCACCTTCTAAATTTTGAATTTTTTTTATACCAAATATAATTTTGAAAATGTTAGCCAAAAAATAAGGAAATTTTGAAAAAATGGTTATTTTGAAAATAATTTCAAATTTTTTTGAGCCCTCTGAGATTGTAAAGACTAGTGACACCCCAGAGGCTTTAGTAATAAATAAACCTATGATACATCCTAAGGTCTTCTTAATTATTTTATTTCTTTTAGAGATAAGCTATTTTTGGTAATCGGTGTTTATAAAAAATTGAAACCTCACAAAATTGTAAAAGAGTGACGCTTTAATTTCCTTTTCATAACATAATCTTACAATTTACAATTGTTTTCATTTGGTAGTTTTAATAAATTTTATACAGAGAGGAAAATATTTAATTTAGAACTGGCTTTAGTTTTTTTTTTTAAAAAGGGTCAATTACCAATATATGTATATAATTATTATATTTAATAAAGTTTACGATTTAAAAAAAAATTAACAAGTAATTACGAATAATTCGTAAAATTCAAAATTAAATTTATTATCTATTATTTTTTTGGCAATTCTTATTCGAGTAAAAAAGAAAGATAAAATAACGAACTAATTAATTTTCAATAGGCTAAGATGACCCCGGTTCTAAACCATTCTTGTTGATTCGGAGAAAATTTTCTTAACTCCTCTGATTATGAAAATAACAAGAAAATCCGGTGTAACGAATCAGTTTTTATTTTTGAATATCTGATTAATTTTAGCAGATAATCAAAAAACTATAAAATCGTTATAAACATCAATAATACTTTATATTTTTTTCAATCCCAAATTGTTGTACCAGTACCCTACCTATTCTGGAGCCTATACAAAATAATTTTTTATAAAACTAACTTATCTCTCTTATACTTGGAAAATAAGATAATTCTTTGCCTGAGAATTAGAATAATCTATCTCCACTTTTTATAATTTTACAAGGAGAGAAATTTTAAAAATCAAATTTCTAATGTTTTCAATAGGATTGTTAACCTACTTTCTAATTTGAGTTATTTCATAAATATTTCGGATTTTTTAATATAAATGATATAATATAATTATAAAATATTGAATTATGTAAAAAAAAAGAAGTCATTTTTGACAAAAGTTGATAAAATATAACCTAATTCTCATGCGAATCGCTATAATATTTTATTCAAAAGTGAACAATTCGAATATCCACCTGTAACATCAACTTAAAAGGATAATAGATTTTGAGGGAATATTTATTATAGGAGAAAATCCTTAAAGATATAATAGTTATAGTAAAAGGAGAGGTTTACAATATAGAGTTATTGCTTACTATGACTGAAGGCCATGTTCCCAGTAAAGCGTAGGCCTGTTGTTTATTGGAAGAACTACCGGATAAGTAGGAGAACATCAAATAAGTTGTCCCATATGCGGCATTTTTTGGGAAGCGCGATTCGCTAGAAAGAAGCGTGCAGCATAATTTACAAAATCAGGCCAATAGGTTTTTAAATATAGCGGAATAATGATATCGTGACAGCTGTTTATATATATTCTAAAAGGTATTCCCGCTTTTTCAATCAGCTGTGCTAGTTACTCCTTTCATGTACACGCTTTCCAATTAATAAAATCTATAAAGGACGGCCAGGTGACCATTCCGTTATCTCTCGAACTTAAAGGAAATTTTGAAGACAATAAAACATATAAATTGTAAAAATAATCAGTGAAATAAAATATACAGTGAACTATCCATAAAGTGACTTATTAAAAGTAGGGTTACATTTTGGTAAAAATAAAGATATCCTCAATTTCTAAGAAGTTTTGCAAGCATTAAATACAAGAGAGAGCGACTTATCCCAAGATAAGATGGTGATCGCCATTTATTGATCATTATCTTATTATTACTTATATAATTATAAACCTAAGAAAACGAAAATATATTTCTTATAATCTTATTAGAGCAATTTTTTTTTTAAAAAAAAATTGAGAAAAGTCCAAAATAAACATATTAGGAGAGTATAGTTTTCGATTGTGAGAAAATATATTTAAAAATTAAAATAAAAAGTAACTTTCGTTATGGATTTTGTCATATTGAGCATTAAAATTACAAAATAATTTCCTTTAGAAAATTAAAAGAATGTTTTAAATATGAATGAGATTTAATCAAAATATTTAGTTTTCGAATCTGATTGTTAGAGGATAAAAATAATAATGGATTATAAACGCATTGAATCGAATAAATCTTATTATATATATTTTTAAAAAAACTATAATGATTTGAATCCCTTACCTTTTTGATTTAATATCAATAAAAAAAAATATTCTTATTCCAAGAGTGGTATTCGTTGAAATGAATAGTTATAATGTGGCCGACGCATCTAGCTACGTCTGTTATAACCCAAAGGACCCAGTTATATTGAGGCTTGACGCTACCGGAGATGGTTCACTAAAGCCTGTTACTATTCCAGAACGGTTTTTTCAAGTTCAAAACTCGTTTTCCGATATAATAGCTTTTAAATACAAAAATAGCGGGGATGAACCCAAAGATGAGAACGCCATTTCCGAAGAGCCCTTAAATAAGCCATGGATATCCGTAACTTACAAGGAATATTATCAAATGTGTAGACGTGTGGCTCGGGCCTTTTTATCCCTAGGATTGGAATCTACACATGCCGTCGCAATAATCGGATTTAATTCGCCTGAATGGTTTTACTCTAATTTCGGGGCTATATTCGCAGGAGGCATATCCACCGGTATCTATACGACTAACGATCCCGATTCCTGTCTTTATATTTTAAGTGATTGCAAAGTAGATATAATAGTCGTCGAAAATCGGGTTCAGCTGTTAAAAATTTTTGCGATTCAGGATCAATTGCCGTTCTTGAAAGCTGTCATTCAATATAAAGGAAATTTGAAGCCGGATACAATAGAATACAAATTTAAAATTTATTCTTGGTACGATTTTATTAATTTATCATCTAAAGTAAACGACGATGATCTAGATAAGATAATAAATACATTACGTGCTAATATGTGTTGCACGTTGCTCTACACTACGGGTACAACAGGTAACCCTAAAGGAGTAATGATAAGTCACGATAATATTACTTGGACAGCTAGGCAGGTTGCTAAAATGACAAAGTACAAAGCTTGTGAAGAAATAATGCTAAGTTATTTGCCCTTGGGCCATGTAGCAGCTCAAATGGTTGATATATACCTATTTATGGATACTGCGAATACCTTGTATTTCGCTCATCCCGATGTTTACAAAGGCACGATTGTTAAATACCTTCAACAGATCCGGCCAACATTATTTGTGGGTGTTCCGAAAGTGTACGAAAAAATTGCAGAGAAAATGCAAGAACTATGTGACAAAATGTCAGGGGCAAAAAAGGCAATAACTGACTGGGCTAATGATATTGGATGGGAGGGATCAATTGCTGAAATGAAGGGCAAGCCTTTACCTAGCTTTTATTGTTTAGCAAAAGTATTAGTTTTCAATAAAGTAAGAAAGGCCTTAGGTTTGGATCGTTGTACCTATTTTGTTAGCACAGGGGCAGCTTTATCCCAGCAAACTCTCTCATATTTAAATTCATTCAATATTCCTGTTATGGAAGTTTACGGGCTTAATGAATGCAGTGGTCCATGTACGATTAACTATCCAGGACCGGGAAATAATTGGGCCGGCAGTGCGGGAATTCCATTAATCGGTACTCAGGTAAGGATAAGTTCTCAATATGATGATTTTCCCGGTGAACTCTGCGTAAGCGGTAGAAATATATTTATGGGATACATTAACAAAGAAAGAGAAACAAATGAAGCATTTACCCAAGATGGCTGGTTCAGGGCGGGAGATTATGGCAAATTAGAATTAACCGAAACGGGTGGACCATTTGTTTTTATTAAAGGAAGGATTAGGGAAATTATGATTCTCTCTACAGGGGAATCCGTTTCCCCAAATGAAATAGAAGAGGCTATAAAAGATGAATTAAAAGATTTCATCAGCAACGTGATGGTTTTGGGCGATCAACGAAAGTATCTAGCCGCCCTTTTGACCGTTAAAACGGAAGAGGATGAAACTTTAATGCCCATAGACAAATTGACACCTTTGGCCCAAGCTTGGCTGAACTCAATTTTAGGCCTGAATAATAATATAACCAAATTAAATGAATTATTAAAATCAAAATCTGTCAAACTTGATAAAGCAATTCAAATCGCTATAAATAAAGTTAACGAAAGGAATCCTGATAAATTTAGACACATACGAAAATGGGCACTTCTTCCTAGGGATTTCAGTGTGATTGGAGGAGAATTGGGTCCTACCTTAAAGATAAAAAGACCCCTTGTATTAGAGCGATACAGTGAAATAATTGATTATATGTATCTAGGTACACCAAGGAGCAGTGATAAATACTTAAATAAAAATTCATTATGATTAAAAATTTAAAGGAATTTTTAAAAAAATCTTTTTGATGTGGATGATTTATATATATGTTACTGCATAAATTATTAATCAACAATAATTTTATTAGCTTTTCTAAGGATACATAAAAATTTGTTATAATTTATTTAGAAAGAACTTATGATAATAACAACAAAGGGATTTTGTTTTGTGTTAAACTTAGATTATTGTACAACCCAGCTGTAGTGTAGCTAGCCCTTGCTAATTTTAGGTCCTAAAAATGGAACATTTTGACAATTAGAGAATGTGTTCAAATTAGTTTCCGAGGTGTTTAGAAAACATTTAACCTTCTTTAGCAACCTTTGACTATATTAACAAAAAGAGAGGGGAAATGAAAGGATAATTTTTTCAATATGTCTTAAAGGGCTAAAGCATTTTGGAAATGATTTCCTCTCACAAATTAAATCAGAACAAGGAGTCACTTATTCTTATTACATTTCCCGCATCTTCCCCATAGGGGAACATTTCCACCTTACAAAATACGAGTACTAAGATGAGGGGTGTACCGATATCCCTTTTTGTCCAGATATTAAATTGATATCGGCCGATTACCGATCCGATATCATATCTAATTTTGTATTCTGTAAAGTTATGAATGGTTTTAATTTTTAATATACTTTTTATTAGTATAACATCTATAATCTAACTACCAAAACTTATGTCATTTAAATATATTATAATGATCAGTTATAGTTTATATTTAATTCAATAAAATATTTTTATTGTTAAATCACTTTTATATAATAAGTAATACATTAATCTATATACATAATAAGTAATAAACAAATATATATGAAATTTGAAATAAATATATAAAATAATATTTAACATTAATTTATCGAAGATTTCTTTTTAGAAATACCAAAATTTCCAAGTTATCAGGGGCCAGCCTGCGACGATTGCAACTGTCAATATCACCAGCTTCACTAAAAAGAAAAACTGATTCGGAAGAGATTATCGCACACTTTTATAAACAGAATGAGCAAAAAAATAACAATATGGCAGAATGTTTATTAATGAACTAAATAAACATAAAAATGGATTTCGATTTTATTTATTAAAATAAATGATTTTAGATATAATTTTTTTAAAAATTTTTAACATTTTATTTTTGTAAAAAACGCCATTTATTATCGGCTCGGAAAATGGGTAAAATATCTGCCCGATCCGATAAATATCGGTACATCCCTAATGAAGATACAATAATGAGAGATTTAGAGACGTTCTATTTCCAGGACGAGCCGCATTCAAGAATATAGAACAAGGGATTACCCCCATTTAATGAAAAGCAGTACAAACATTGTATTTATTAAAAAACCTTATTTATTTTATAATATCACATATTTAATAAATTTAGGTAAAAAATACATTAAAATAAAATAAATGAAGAAGCAAACCAACGATTAAGATAATGATAATATTTAATATTTTAAGCACAATTTTTTGAAGGGTAGTAGGGTTGGTTAGCCCATGGTAGACCTCTATTCTGTACCTCGAATATGTGATGATTATTTTTTTAGAAGTAAGACAAACCCATTTAATAGTTAGTGATAATTATAGCTCCATTTAATTTTCCATATTATTTCATATATTATCTAAGTGTTGGTTTCTTTATTAGACCCCCAATTTGAAAAATTAAAATATCGTACCCAGAACAAAATTGTACACTAATATCTCTGAAGTCTAGGCAGAGTCTTAGGTCTATTTTATGGTAAAAGGCGGTATATTCAAACCGTCCGGTATTCAGTGCTACGTTTTTTACAAAATCAAGCCAACAAATAGGTTTATTAATAAGGAGCGTTATGACAATAAGGCTCCATTTTTTTGCATTATTCCCAAAAATATTAATGCTCAATTGGTCATTGCCAATGCTATGAAGAATCAGGCGTGGTTTCGATAGCGTTAAATAATGAAACTTGAACATCATGCGTTTACTATAAATTCAGCGTTAGATTTTTATCATCCTTCGAGTTAGGTACTCAACTTGGCGGTATTAATGTATTATGCTAATTTGCGCTCGGTTGGTCCTTTATCTTTAATTTACAATTTCCTATCAATTTTGTTAATTTGTCGTTGTAATTTTAATCTATCATGCCTACAATTTTTTTATAAAAAATTATTCTTGAAAGCATTTAACCATTACTCATCCTTAAATTATGGAAGATATATCAAATAAAAATTTACTAACAAAGTTAGTAAGTAAGCATTTCGGTGACAAATGACAAACACAAATTATGATTATACTATGAATGAATTGGAACAAGAATGCCATATTCTTATTGGAAATCGTAATCCGCAAAATATATTATAAATTTTTGGGAAAAATAAGGAATTTCCGCATATTTTTATGCTAGCAAAAAAAAAATTGTCCTCCACTTCGGAAATTGGTCTGTTCTTGTAAATATCATCTTAAGCTAATAACAACCTCCCCACCCCCCCCCCCAAAAAAAAATTTTTTTTCAATCAGTAGAAGTTAATTAGTTTTCAAAAATTTCTTAAAAAAACATATCCAAAGGCACATTATATGTGCACCTAAGGACAATCAATAAAACTTATCGGGGGAAAACCCCACCTTATGGTAGTCCCCCCTCTCCCTTTCCTGTCTACACATGATCGATAGGTAGATTTGAATTCAAAAAGATCATTATTATGTTCAATTTAAATTTTCATCCATGAAGATTATTACGCAAGACCGAAGATTTTGCTCATAGAAGAAACAAAGGTCTAGACATATATTAACGAAATCTAGAGGCTTAGGCATATTTTTCTGGCTAAAATATTGAGTTAACCGTTTTAAAAAATCGGCTCAAAACGAGCCGTTTAACAACACTACTTTTACATAACTCTAAAATTACAATTGAATTTATATTTATAATTAGGTTATATTTTTTTAAATAAATAATAAAATATAATATTTACCTAGTGTATATTAATTAATAAATTTTTTTAGCGTTTCTTAAGCCAATCATTTATAACGGAGGTGCTTAGATTTCTTTTAACGTCATTAATATAATTATTTATTTTAAATAATTAATTTTTATATTTTTCAATAGATAATAAAAATATAGTAATGTTTTAGTTTCATTTATCTTTTGAAGAAGAAAAATAATTTCAGTTAGAATGCGTCATGTCCTACGTCCCATCCATCCTAATAAATCAGTTTAAAAGTGGTCCGTTCTTCATGACACTTGACTAGAATACAAATATCTTCTAATTCGATGGTCCTTTTTGGAAGCCTAATTTGAAATTCAAATACATATACGTTCTATAGTGAGTCATCCTGTAATGAGAATTTGGAGAGCTGAGTCGAAACCTAAAATATTTTATGATTTCATTTCTATATTAATTTATAATTTTATTTTAATTTATTTATTTATGAAAGCAAAAATTAATTTGACTTGAATAAATAGAATATATCGCTTAGCGTTAGGTCTCATTTATAATGATCGTGTTAAATTTAAGTGTTACGTTATTTAACGCTGTGGATATAACATCTGATTCTTAATAACCTTAATATAGTTTTTAAAATATACGTTTGCAACATATGTTATTCAAATAATATCATAGCGTTATCATCATAACATAACGCTCCATATTTATAAATTACCAGCAGAAAGTCCATCAAGAATGACGGGGAATCATAATATTCCCCTTAATTTGATGATGGATGAATCAGAAATTTCTACTTTATTAGATTTGATGATCCATAAATCAGGAAAATAAAGTAAATTCTGAGTCATAGCTCTTGTCATTAATGATGGGTATTAGCCATTTTGGTTATATTGATGATTTGTGAAACCAAATTTCCCCTTTATTTGATGATAGATAAATCAGCCAAATAAGAAAAATAAAGGGGAAATTTATAATATATACATCATCAAATATAGGGGAAATTTATAATTTATACATCATCAAATAAAGGGGAAATTTATCATTTTATACATCATCAAATAAAGGAGAAGATTCTGATTTCCCATCATTCTTGACGGGTAAAATTAAACATAAAATAACTAAGTGATACTTAATCGCGAACGGTTAAAAATTATCTGGCACATATCTAGAAGTATAAACATTCACTGTTTTATAAAGAGGAAGTGAGATATTTGAAAATGATGAAAAATATATGATATTTCAGATAGGTTTACTTTATTTTAGCTAAATTATTTGACCTCTTTATGAAGATTAGTATAATCACCCAAAGTGGTAATATATATATCACTTCAACTTATAACATTTACAATCAACCTTTAAATTTTTGTATCTTGAGCCTTTATATTCAGTCCAGACATCAGTGATATATTATCTGAGATCTCAGAATTGAAATAATTTTTCAAAAATTTTCGACGTTAGAAAATTTTTTCAATTAAGAGTCAAATTTCTTAAGTTATATATATTTTAATATTGTTCTTTAATAAATTTCAAGCATCTCATTTCTAATTATAGGGCAAAATTTTAATTAATTTTTTATAACGTTTAAATGATTTATATTAATTATCAATTCAAAAAAAACGAATATGGAAGGTTCGCAATATTATTACAAAATGTTAAACTGAGATGAAAAAGGTTAGATTTGGGTAGGCGTGAACGTGACCAATTTATAGTGACTTTGTGGGTGGCCAAAAATTCTGTATCCTTGATGTGTTCCGTCCTAAAGATGGGTATGGACATTTGAGGATATCTCATCAGTTATCGTAATTTTAATGAACCAATTTTTAAAATAAGAGCGTTTTATTTTATTAGGAAATGTGCGGTAATTATAATAAAAGTTTCTTCTCTTTTGCTAATTTATGAGAGAAATCATTTCAAGGGAATACATCGCAATTTACCTACCCCCCTTTCTATCTCCTAAAGAAGATTACTCCCCTGTTCCCTTAAAAAACTGTCCTTTTAAAATATATAGAGGAAAATTGATATCACATCCCCTCCCCTCTCCCGTTCTCCCTCTTTAGCCGCTGGTCGTTAAAGGCGGCTGAAGCTTTATTATCAATACCTTGAAACATAATTTGAGTATGTTTAAAATATTCTTTAATAGTTAAAGCATTTATTAGGTCGAAAAATAGCAAGACCTCGCTACACCACTGGCTGACTTTAACAATAAATTTAAAAGATAACAAAAATTCACTTTGATTAAAATTATTTTTATAATAAACCAACATTATAAATTCTAATAAAAATAAATATAATAAATTTTATATATTATTAGAAAGGGTAATAAAATCAAATCCGTATTTTTATGTAGTATTTATATATTTTAAATCATTCCAAAATGATATTTAAAAAGATTCATAATATCTATTAAATTTCTCATGACGATCTTTTAGATATACTCTTACTACTCCTTGTTGTGTTACCATCTTGATAGATAAAGTCAATTATTTGACTGTATCGCTTTAACACAACAGGTCTTCTAAGCTTTAAAGTAGGACCTAATTCTCCCCCGGCTAAACTAAAATCCCTAGGCACAAATACCCATTTTTGTATGTAGACAGATTTTTCACAGTGCTTTTCGTTAACCTTGTTTATAGCGTTTTGAATTGCGTTATCAAGTTCAACAGGTTTCGATTTTAGTAGTACATTTAATGTGGTTATATTATTATTCGGGCTTAAAACTGAGTCAAGCCAGGCCTTGGCCAAAGGTGTAAAAATGTCCGTCGGCTTATTAGCTTCATCCATTTCCGTCTTAATGGCCAAAAGAACGGCTAAGAACCTTTTTTTATTGCCTACAATCATCACGTTGCTGATAAAATCTTTCAATTCCTCTTTTATAGCGTTTTCTATATCATCTGGCACTACCGATTCCCCTCCAGAGAGAATTATCAATTCTCTAATCCTTCCTTTGATAAAGACAAACGGCCCTCCAGTTTCGGTTCTTTCTAATTTGCCATAATCTCCCGTCTTGAACCAGCCATCTTTGTTAAAGGCTTCATTAGTTTCTTTTTCTTTGTTAATGTATCCCATAAAGACATTTCTACCGCTCATGCAGAGTTCACCGGGAAATTCGTCATAGTGAGAACTTATCCTCACGTGAGTACCGATTAAAGGCAATCCCGCACTTCCGGCCCAATTATGCCCCGGTCCTGGATGGTTAATCGTACATGGGCCGCTGCATTCATTAAGCCCATAAACTTCCATGACAGGAATATTGAATGAATTTAAATATGTGAGTGTTTGATGTGATAAAGCTGCCCCGGTGCTAACAAAATAGGTGCAACGGTCCAAACCTAAAGCCTTTCTTACTTTATTGAATACTAAAACTTTTGCTAAACAAGAAAAACAGGGTAAAGGCTTGCCCTTCATTAATGCTATTGATCCATCAGATCCAATAATCCTAGCCCAATCAGTTATTACTTTTTTTGCCCCGGTCATCCTGTGATGTATTTCTTGCATTTTCTCTGCAATTTTTTCGTAAACTCTCGGTACCCCGACAAATAATGTTGGCCTTACTTGCTGAAGGTATTTAACTATGGTGCCTTTGTAAACATCAGGATGGGCAAAATACAAGGTATTTGCAGTGTCCATCAACAAGTATATATCCACAATCTGAGCTGCTACATGGCCTAATGGTAAATAACTTAGTAATATTTCTTCACAAACTCTGTATTTTATCATTTTAGCAACCTGTCTAGCTGTCCAAGTTATATTGTCATGACTTATCATAACCCCTTTAGGGGTACCGGTTGTTCCCGAAGTGTAAAGCAACGTGCAGCACATGTTAGCACGTAAGGTGTTTATTATTTTATCTAACTCATCGTCGTTGACTTTAGATGATAACTTAATGAAATCGTACCAAGAATATATTTTGAATCTGTATTCCCCTGCTTCTTGCTTCAGAGATCCTTTATATTGGATAATAGCTTTCAAGGAAGGCAATTCATCCTGAATCTTTAAAATTTTTAACAGCTGCAGCCGATTTTCGACGACTATTATATCAACTACACAATCATTTAAAATATGAAGACAGGAATCGGGATCGTTAGTCGTATAGATACCGGTGGATATGCCTCCTGCGAATATCGCCCCAAAATTAGAGTAAAACCATTCCGGTGAATTAAATCCTATTATTCCGACAGCATGTGTAGATTCCAACCCTAGGAATATAAAAGCCCGAGCCGTGCGTCTACACATTTGATAGTATTCTTTGTATGTTACGGATATCCATGGCTTATTTAAGGGCTCTTCATAAATGGCGTTCTCGTCTCTGGATTCTTCCCCGCGAGTTTTGTATTTAAATGCTATCATTTCGGGAAACGATAGTTGAACCTGATGAAAACGTTCTGGAACAGTTATAGGTTCAAGTGAACCATCACCGGTCTGGTCAAGCCTCAATATAACTGGGTCTTTTGGGTTATAACAAACGTAACTGGATGCCTTGGCCAATTTTAAATTATCCATTTTGACGAGTAAGATCGAATACCATTGGAAATAACAGAGGTATGCAGTATTATCTTTTTTTATGTTATATTGAAAAAAAAGGTTTATAAAACTCAAATCATTATTGTTTTATTTTCTAATATTCGATTCATTATGCTATTTACGTTAATGATCCACTATTATATTTCTTTTCTTTAACAATCAAATACTTGAGAATAAATATTTTAGTAAATATTCATATTTAAAATTGTGTAAATATTCTTTGATATTTTTCCGAGAAAAATAATTTTTATTTTTTATTTTAAATATTTCTCAGAATCGGAAACTATAACTCTTCCTGGTGCATGATTATAATTTTGATATCATAGGAACTTGTCACAATATTTTCACATCTGTCTTAACCCAAACCATACCAGAACCCATAAGATGTGAACGGGTTGCAACCTTATCACGTGTCTAGATCATCACTCTCTATTCTACTCTATTTATATTTAATATTTGTATCCACCTTATCACTCCTAACCCATTATCCTAAAATTCTTAACATCACTATTGATTCTTTACCTACATTCTTATTGTAAATTATAAAAGTTTGAAATCCTTCTTAAGAAAATGAAGATGGTATATAGTTTTTTCACAATATTTAAACATCTCTCCCTCCTCACTAGACCCTTTTGTTTCCATTCCTAAATCTCATATGGGTATGGTGTACTTCGTTATGCACTAAATTAAGCTAATCTCTCATAAATGACGAAAAATAAATTCTCGATTCGTTAAAATAAAACCAAATTTACGTTAGTCCAGAAAAATCAAAAGTAGAGTAGGTGGAGAGAGAAAAAAAAGGTATAAATACAAATCCAAACTATCAAAAAGATTTAATAAGGAAATTTAAAATAAACAAAAATAGAAGGGAAATCGAATTTAATTCATTCATTCATTGATTGATTTGGCAGGTTGGTCTACTACCCGGTCTGTAGAAGACGCATGTGGGCTAGCTTGTATCTTGCCAAATTTTTTTTTAATATATATTCAAAGGATAGAAAGTTATCAAGTTTATTTTAACATACTACAGAATTTGTTATATTTATTTTCATTAAATTATTTCTTTTTTCTATATATTGTACATAATAAAGTTGGAGATATTGGGCATTAGAAATCTGCAAAGTAATTTTTTCGCAGCCCGAGCCCCGAAAAGAAACTTTTTTGTCTGAGCCCGACCCAAGCCCGAGCACACATTTATTAATCTCCAATCCGAGCTTGAATAAAATTTTACAATTTGAGTTTGAATATTATAATAACCAAAAATAAATTATGTGTATTTATTCATCGCCACTAAATAAAAAATTATTTGACGACCATAATCTAATCATGATATATATTAAGTTGCATTTTATTTAATTTGTAAAAAATATAATAAAAAAGTTAAAATACAATCGATTCTAAAAATTATAAATAATTTAACCATATTCATATATTTGTTATCAACACATCGACATATATGCGTTTAATTTCGGAAAAAATTTATTTCGTATACCATCAGCAATATCTATTAAATTTCTAGAAATAGTTATGAGATTTAGAATGACGCTTTTAACATCAATATTTCCATACATTTAGCCAATTTTGGCAAAATATTGGCAAAAATCAACAAAGCCTTCCCCATGAATTGCATCAAATGATCTCAAATCACGTCCACAAAACATGGTGAGCCCTTCTGTACACTCTTTTTTTTAATTTGGCACAAATTTTGAGTTTTTTGGGATCATTACCAAAAAGGCTATCGATTGTTAATTGAATCTTTTTACTCTCTAAATACGCATTTATGCCTTTTTAGTTGATTTATGCCTAAAATAATTTCATATTTTTTATGTATGTTAATATAGAATTATAAGCATATATTTGCAAAATTGCAACTTACATGATTAAGTTTTTCTTTGTTTTCATTATATATAAATGAAAACGTCTTCCTGACCGCAGATTTTCCATTGACATTTTCCCTTACTTCATTTTCATTGCTCTTAATCTTTTCACTAATTTTTTTTAATTTGGCATCTATTGAAATAATTTTTTTAATATGAAAATATGAGACTGTTTAATTAAATAGATATTAATATTTTTATTTAACTTGATAATGATGAAAGTAAACTATATAATAATATCGCTAACTATACAATGCAATGTACTAAAATATAATCACATAAAATAGTTTGGTATATGGTTGTTATGTAAATTATAAAATAATAATTGAAAATGGCATGATATTCTGATTGATATTTTAAGAATAAAATGTAATAAATAAAATATGATATGGTTTGTTTTATAATTGACATTATGAATTATAATGATAATTTAGGATATTTATATAAATATTTTTTTCAGGTCAGGTTGGGTTTCGGGTCGGACAGCTCTTACAACCCAACCCGAGCCCGAAAAATATTTTTGTTAATCCGAACCCGAAACTCGAATCGGGTCAGGCTACGGACAGCCCGAACAGTTCTCTATTGAGTATTATACTTATTGTGATTATAGTTATACAAATTTTTGATATATTGTTAATAATCAGGAGAATATTACTTTTTTTAAATGCTTCAACTTTATCAATGTCAGATCAGAACACTGATCTATTTGTTATTTTGAGTATTTTATTTTATTTTATGTACATGTATATAATATACCTTTTTTTACAACTAATCACAACAATAATAATAGCAAATAATTATAATAATAATAATAATATATATACAATGTTGTGTAGTGTATATAATTTAGATTATGTAAATTAACCAATAAAATTAAACATTTATTCAATCTATTATAACACTTTATCAAATAATTTACTATGGTATCCTACATTTTCTATATCCATATTGAGCCCTTATGATGTTCACAATATATTTCCATTATAATGGATAATAAGTTGATTATCATCGCTTCATTTGAATCAAACCTTTTTCCCATTGAATCCAAATGGCCATAAAATAAAGCCAATAAATTGTGCTACTTCAAAAAATAAAAATGGTTTTAAAACTGAATAGTGGATGATGAAAAACTTTCTCGAAGCCCCCCAAAATTTAAGAAGAAATAAAAAGATCATTCGCAATAGATACGATCTTTACAATATCTGCCATTTTAAATCAGTCTTATCTCTTTATTGTTAATCTATATTCGTAGTAATCTAATAAGTTTTATTATATAGAAACTATATATAGAACATTAAAATATTTTCTTTCATCCTTCCTTCGTTCTATCTAAAATTCTGTCATTACTTACTAAAATAGACATTCTCTACAGGAACAATAGGCAGCAATATTCATTACAATGAATTCAACATTTTGATATTATTTGTTCTAGCCGCCGTCAACATTTATTTTTTTATAATCAACAATAATTTAATAATATCGTTTGTCAGAATAATTTACGAGCCTATTTTTTTACATTGTAAAATAAATAACTATCGTCTGCTATTGTATATTGTTTTTGTGTGTATATAACCTTGCTTGCTATTATATCAATAAGTACATCTTATTTTATACTGCGAAAATGATTAAAATATTTTCTTATATTTAGGCTGTGGCCTATATACATATAAAAAATTAAATTCAGGAACTTTGTAACTTTAACGAAAAAAAAGAAGAAATAAATATAAAAAGAAAACATGTCCTAAACATAATTTTAGAAAATTTATGAGAATTTTTGAAAATTTATGAGAATTTTAGACTAGATTTTGGGCACGGCCTTTAAAAATGAAGAAAATAAATTAATTATTTTAATGATTCAATTTAAAAAGTGAGTCAAAATATCGTCCATAAATGAAATTTTAATCTACTTTTCTATTGCGCCAATTATTTAGTAGTTTGTTTTGTGTTGGGGATTAATTCTCGATGAGAAAAACTAGTCCATTCAATCATTTTTAAGATGTGATCGATAAAAAATGAAATATTTATTCATTGGGTCGGTTTCAAATCGGTTATCAGTCAAATCACTAATACGTAAATATATGCGTATAAAACAAAAATGAAGATATTTTGATCAATTATGAATATGATTTACCTATTGCTTATACGTAAAACATTATACCTTTTGAATGCAATTCATTTAATTTATTTTAAATAATAAGGAGGAACTTATATCAATCTCGCATATTAAATCTTTTTTTTACATATTATTGATTATTAATTTAAGTTTAATTATTATAGATAATTTTTTTAAAAAACCGATAAATAACTTTCTTTTTTTAAAAAATATTAAATATTCGATTTATTTTTGATTAGGTTATACCACAAGAAGTATATATAATTTATATGTGATAGTCTCTCTGGAGTAACGACTCTTAATCCGGAAACCTCACCTGTATAGATTTATAATCTCTCAAATTTTATTTAACGAAAGCCATTTTTATATTTGATAAATCATTTTTTTAAGCTAAGTGTAATCCAGCATAGATAACTTAGAGTCACTATACCCAGAAAATATTTTACCGTGAATTATTGAAATACTCTAAATTTAGATGAATAAGTTTTTATTGTATACATTTTTTTTTAATCATGGTTTCAAAAAAAATCATATAACTTTGTATTCACAGTTAGCACGAATTCGCGGTGATGTATACAACATGTGATGTAAATATAATCACTTTACGTTAATTTTTGTATTACTTCGCCGCGAATTCGCGCTAACTATGAATGCAGGGTAAAGCCCTTTTTTAATGATATGGCTACTTATTTTTAAAAAAAAGTGTATATAATATAATCTCACGCCTTTTTAAACTAATTAGTATTAAAAATGAAAACCTTATTTAAAATGCAGTTTGAATAAAACAAAAAAACTATAAATAAAATACAGAAAAATTCATAGCGTAAAATTGTTTTTAAATCAATAGGATAGGGGTATACTCTAGACACGCTGATAAACTTCCGGTAAAATCACATATATTTGAAAAACGTCCTCGTAGATGTTTTAAAAATGATGAATTCCGAATCCATCCATGAGGATGCCTGATATTTCAGAACTTACTATATATA